ATGTAATGTATGTATGTAATGTATGTATGTAATGTATGTATGTAATGTATGTATGTAATGTATGTATGTAATGTATGTATGTAATGTATGTATGTAATGTATGTATGTAATGTATGTATGTAATGTATGTATGTAATGTATGTATGTAATGTATGTATGTAATGTATGTATGTAATGTATGTATGTAATGTATGTATGTAATGTATGTATGTAATGTATGTATGTAATGTATGTATGTAATGTATGTATGTAATGTATGTATGTAATGTATGTATGTAATGTATGTATGTAATGTATGTATGTAATGTATGTATGTAATGTATGTATGTAATGTATGTATGTAATGTATGTATGTAATGTATGTATGTAATGTATGTATGTAATGTATGTATGTAATGTATGTATGTAATGTATGTATGTAATGTATGTATGTAATGTATGTATGTAATGTATGTATGTAATGTATGTATGTAATGTATGTATGTAATGTATGTATGTAATGTATGTATGTAATGTATGTATGTAATGTATGTATGTAATGTATGTATGTAATGTATGTATGTAATGTATGTATGTAATGTATGTATGTAATGTATGTATGTAATGTATGTATGTAATGTATGTATGTAATGTATGTATGTAATGTATGTATGTAATGTATGTATGTAATGTATGTATGTAATGTATGTATGTAATGTATGTATGTAATGTATGTATGTAATGTATTTATTTATTTATTTATTTATTTATTTGTGTGTGTGTGGAATGGTGAAAGGCAATGTACGCGACTGAACTTACGGGCCTGATTCTTGTCATCATGCACCTGCCAATTTACAACGTGTGCCCGAACTTTTTTCTGTGAAACCGCGCACCAGTGATAGGGTTTTCATGCCCTTTACTTTGTTCTTCACGGTAAGACGGTTCCATCAATATCCCGGCCTGTTTGGGTTACCGATAATATGGTCATGACCCTTCACCAGATTCGTTTCACTCGTTCAGCTTCTGGTTATATGGTTCATTACTCAGAAAATGGTTGTATGATTCGTTTACCGTTAACAGAATCAAGTTGTGTTTCTCGGATGGTATTTTCAGAAGCCAATCACCCTAGTTGTAATAGTGTCCACACGAATGAAAGAGCTAAATCTACTGTGTTGTTTCCCTTGCACTTGCGAATTCCCACTTTCCCTGCTCCGTTATGCTGTATTGCCTACTTTACACGTGCCTGTTCTGCCTAGCCTTAGTCAGTCATATTCGACTGAGATTTTAGTGAGCATACTTTACAACGCCCACAGCCTTCATATTTCCTGCTTATCCAATGCACCAGCATTGCTGGTAGGATAAGGGCGAGATGGCCCAAGTGGTTAGAGCGCGAATTCACTGACCGGAAGGTCCGTGGTTTGAACCCAACCTCTGCCTCTCGATTTCCCCTGCCTAGGCTTGGGCACCCTGGCAGTATCCCAGCCCTCGTGCAACCTTCGGGTGGCATGTCAGTTAGGCATCGAAAGGGTGCTACAGCTGGTAGGATGGAATCTCGAAACGTGGCTCTTAGACATCAAGGGATGCCTGTCACAGGATAAAAACGTACTGCACTTGGTAAGGATATTACTTTGTCGGCCAGTGTTCTCCAAGGTGTTTACTCCTTGCTGTATCTATAAGTCAGAATTTTGCGTCCATATATTTATCTGCCTGCTTTCACTATTTTTCTCATATCCTGTAAAATTTGACCGTTATGGTTTGCGCTTTCAGACGCCCTGATCACTTACCCGCGGATATGAGCACCTCTTGGTTGTTTATGCGCAATTCATCATGCTTCCCTTTTTTCCTTTAGGCTCTTGTCTCTGGTTGTCTGGTCTTGTTAAGAACTGTTTGCGGATCTGATGCATGCAAGCGTGCTGCTGGCACGTGGACCTCATCACGAGACAGGCAGGACTCGGGCATCAGTGGTCCGCAACTGGTCATAAAAGCGCTGGAGCGTCATCTAAAAAACCCGATACTGGCAAAGCACGCTGCTGGCGTTATCGCAGCTATGACTCTCCGGCAACCTCAATTAGCTCAGCAAATGGTCTCTGCCGGTGCGCCTGAGTTCCTCTCCAAAGTGCGTGTTTCCATCAGATAACACCAATGAACTTTCACTCCGGTAATATTAAAATGTTTTGATCCGTGAGGTGCAGTAGGTGGTTAGTCTTGAGCACGATGGTATCCTCCTAAACTGTCATTATGTAACCTCAGATGCCACAGGCAACTCAAACCATCTCACCCTACGTATAGATTTTGGTAGTGTTTCGTTCAGTAACTCTAAGTGCCATTTCATTAACACTTGTTCATATTGTTGTCTCGATCGTGCTTGTACTCATACTCAAGCGATCTGACGGAGCCAAATGAGAACCAGCTGTAACAATAAAGTATATGGCACCGATGGACTGGGCTGATATTGTCCCTAGTTGTTGTCCCTTGCGGCTGTTGGATAGTTTTCAGGTATCCGAGGACGGTCAACAGAATCGAGTTGACAGATGAGGTTGGCATGTGTCCGAAAATTGGTCATGCTGGCTGCCATATGGATAAGCTCATATCTATAGGTTAACCAGTATGGTTTTCGTCGTTACTATCTCCTTTACTGCCTTGTGCATTAATTGTGAGTGTAATCTGTTCAGTTCGGAAACCGCCAGTTAAACTTCCTGCATTTAATGCCGTAGGAATGTTGTGGATTTGTCTGCTCAGTCGTTTTTAAATCTAATGCATGGAACAATGCATTTGGATAATTCATTTCTTATCAAACTCAAACTCAACTCTATTTCACATATCACTCATATCAATCTTTTGTCAGGCTCTGGAACTTCACATGTCAGACGCAGCAACTGTTCGGGCGATTTGTATGGCCATTCGAAACTGTGTTTCTCGTTCACAAGATCTGCGTGCCGCATTCCTTGGCCAACCTTGTAAAACAAACTACTCCGTACTCAATAACTCGTCCTTGGAAACCAGTGATGTTTACGAATTGGAGGCTCTGTTGAACTCAGCCCTCCGGATTCGTGGCTGTGCTGATGAAGCAAAAGCCGCTCTTCGTGACCTGGGGTGTCGTGTTCAGCTGCAAGAACGATGGCGTGGCAACCCTCCTTCAAATATTCAGCATAATCATTGTGACACTGAGAACTTGATTGTTTGAACAGGACAGTACGGATGGAATGGTTAAGTGTGTGTATTATCCAGAAAGTGTCTACGACCGACATGTACATCATCGAGTTCTTTCTTTGCGGGAACAAATATACTTCAATAAGTTGATTGCCTGCTTAATTGCAAATGTGACATATTTGGTGTTCAGTGCTTCTTTCCTTACAATGCTTTGCTGGGCAATTCAGACTGATCGCAATTATCACAACATGGTGGACATCAAGTCATGCCACTCGGTGGAACTTTTTCAGTGCATAGTGGCCACACAATGCTTGATGCTCAGTTCTCACAATCTGAAACTCCGATGTAGTGAAGGCCTCTATCACGTCTGTGCTCCCAGTGACATAGACCTCACTCTTCTCTAACTCTTGTCATCATCATCAATATCAGAGACAAAAGCATCAGTGTTGACTCTGATGTTTCAGTGCTGTACTGGTCAGCGTGTTTATTCGTGATTGGCTACTTTCCTGTCTGCATGGATTCCTACTATGGATAGTAGGCCGGAAAAGTTATATCAACCTTTTTGATAACCGTCCGTTTCTCCCTCGATGTTGACGTCTGCTTACGAAACAGAACTTCAATAGTCGGGCGGACTATGTTACTGTAGTCACGATGTCCCAAGAATTTAACAGCATTCCACACGGCCAGTTTCATTCGGCCTTACCACCACGAATTCTCACTTCCTTGTGTGTTGGACCTGCTGTGTTTGCAACAGTTGTCCTGCGTAGTACGATTTCGCTTGTGGGCCGTTGTTTGTTTTACCGTCCTAAGCATCAACCGACTGTCAATCAATTGGGAAATAACATTCAGTTTGGTTCCACCAGAGTACGTTATCGTTGCCATAGTCGAACTGTTAATAGGGCTTCGGAACGGCAGAAGTAAACCTGATTTCGCAGCACAAGTTCTCCCAAGTTAGCATTCAACGCTCTACTAACTACCACAGATAAACTTCGGTGCTTTCGTGGCAGCGGTGAAAGTCTTGTCCTCTGTGCAGTCTCATTCTGTTATGCTTTTTGTGATACATAATTCACTTAGAAACTCGTGGACCGTCCTATTTTTTCTCGTATGATCCGGAAATTGAGTGAGGGCACGTGGCCGCTTCTTTTGGAGTAGCCGGCATGGTCGCATCACTTACAAGGTCCATACAGAAGCAAATGTTCTTCCCACTTGAAATAGCGACATGAGACATTCTCTGGAAGCACAATACGGTAGACAATCAAACAGTAAGTTAGAAGCTTAGGAGTAGACAAACGCAGATGATACCAACAGCTGAGGTGAAATTAACCAAACCTAGCGCACGGTCGACCGTCCAGCCACCTTACATGTTCAATTAATAGGTCATTTTCCTTCAGAAAAATAAAAGATTGTCACACTAGAGTATTCATTTATTTGCTCCACTTGCTGAAATTTTGTTCACTGATGGATGAGAAAATAAGGACAAGACTCTCTGCTTTAGAGACGATGGCCCAACACTTCATGGGTGCTGACTTGCTTTGATACAGTGGAAAGTGATATCGATGCGTGTGGCAGTTTTGCCAAATGGGGGTTCGTCAGGTGCACGTTTTGTCTGGGTAATATTGTGCAAGAAAAACTCTGCTTTTTAACCAAAAGCCTCCATTTTTACTGAACTATATCATATCAGTGTGACACTTTCCCGAATAAACTTGAAAGACAACTGACATGAAACATCTCCGTATGCATTCACTTAACAGCCAGATGCTATCGATGTTCGTTGTTTCATCATCACTACTTTCTGGGGCATTCACTGGAAATGCCGTCATAAAATATTATGGTGGATAAAGTTGGATGTGCTCAGATGTGAACTTTGTGCTGATTTGTTGTCGGTCATGAATGTCACGAAAGACGGTCTGAACCGCCTTTGCGATTCTTCGTATTTCTCCGTTAAGTGTTCGGAGTAACCATCGCTACATTGGTTACTAATAAATTGTCAAGTAGCATGAAATAAAAACAAGTTTTGGAATACCGTGTGGTTTGCGTACTAATGGCTCCCCGTGAGACTGTTTCCCCTGGCCAGAACGATGCCAAATTACTTAGCAGTTTTCACAACGTGAGAATTGTACGGTCTCTTCAAGAACCAAAATACTGTGATAGAGTCTCATGGGTTCTTCAGATTCATCAGAATCCAGTTTTTCTCGCTAGTGATTACCATAGGCTTGTGTAATACCAAGTTTCTCGACTTTCCGGAATAAATCGAACATGGGGGCGGGGTTATCGCGGGAAATTAAATTTCGCCAGAAGACAGGAGCTGTTGAAATCTTCAGTGAAATTCGTGGAGGGGCCGCATCTGCTTCTGGTTTTGCAGCAGACTGTCGGACGGTTCACAACCAAGTAAAACAAGCCCAACTACCTTAATAAAATGAAGTCAACCGCATCTTTTACTGATCATCCTCCTCATTAGGGAACAGAACCTTTAGAGTGGCATTTAGCTGAAATACAACCTTTTTCCACACCTCTGATATCCTCCCCATAGGTTCGTTAAAATAAGCGCAAAACAAAATCATGTTTGTGGTTGTCTTTCATCTGTGTTCCTGAGTGACTCAGCAAGAGATAAAAAGGCGAAGTTGTGTGTCATCACAGGGCGAAGTGATCGTTTGAGAAAAGTTTGGGAATCCACCGAGTGTTTCTTCAGCTTCTATATACTATACGTGTTGTACTGTGATCAAAATTTAACAGACACGAGGAGTGTCCAACATGGGACGTAGCTGTCCCATAGTGAGGACATCTGAAAAAATAGCGCCTAGCACGAAAATCAAGTTGTGCAGATCGTCCTCACTTCTCTTTCGTCCACACGTGGCCCGTGTAGACCGATTTTGAACGTTAATCCAAACATACTGTTGAATTTGGCGAGCGGATACCGTAACTTCTTGTAACGACTCCTGAACATAGGGGACCTTAGTATTTGATCTACGTTTTGAATGTTCTTCGTTTAGAATAGCCTCCAGGTGGTGTTAGGGCCCGGTAACATTTTGCCTTTGGCTGAGTAAGAAGCCCGAAGTTCACCACCTTGTAGTATTAGGCATATTCTCCAAAGTGGTCATTTCGCTGATATAATACCAAGATCTTCCGTTCAACTGAGCTATTATCAGCCGCCAACCTAGACGTTTCTTAAGTGTTCATTGATTGCCTCGCGCCGAAAACTCCTTGGGAGTCAAGTTACGCTGCCCTTGTAAATGAGTGGATTTCATTGAAGACTGTGCAAGCAAAACAGCATGTTTGACCACACTTTTTTGTTAACTTCTACACATGTCGAGACGGACGAGATGGATCCGTCAGGCAATTTTTTCTGCTTTATGTAATAGTTAAACGAATTAAGGAGATAGTACAGGTTTTCGTGGATAAGACCTAGTGAGTCTCAGGAGGAACGAAGCCACCAGATAGGGTGTTGTCTAGACGTCATTCACAAGGTTGCCGAAAACTTCGACAGCCCGCGACTAGTTTCTCCGTTCTTAGGCTAATCAGGTAGGCGCAGTCCTCGAGTTTCTGACAACCTTATATTCTGACTGAACCCAAATTTGAGGGAATTTGCTAAGTACCCTCATTTACACACTAATTTGGCTTTCACTGAAGACCCAACTGAATCCAACCGAAGAGGTCCATCATGAATGAGGACAAGAATGTTCTTTCTATTAGGATTGGGCTGACGTAATCCAATAGACTCAAGATGGTTCAAATTCTGTTCCTATAAATAATACCTAAACCTCCTATCTAATTTTTCGTATAGTCAAAAACTTCAATTCTATACGAAGAACATCATTTTGTTGACAGAAGCCTTTTGGTAGACCTCGAAATCATCCAACTAGTGATAAGCAATTCTAGACCTATAGAGGTAGAGTTGCTGAAAACCTTCCGACCGGTCTCGTCCTTCTTAGGGCTCATCAGGTAGACGCAGTTGTCGAGCTTTCCCCAAACTTATGTTTTACTTGAACCCAAGTTGTACGAAATAAGCGAAGAAGGTCATCATGAATCATTTTCGGTTGCGCTCCCTCGTTTAAGATATGCTATCTGTAAGACTTACTGATAACGGCTCCTGTTGGACTGTTCGCTTATGCAAGCTGATGCAAGATATCCATTGTTTTTTCTTCCCCCCCCCCAACATTTTTCAAACATTACTAAACAATGTTGTAATAATTAACCCAAAATTTCGAACGTTTCGGGGCAAATTAGTGTGGACAAATACCCGATTGGTTCAAAATTGATCTCTTCAGCGAAAAAGGAATAGGCGCTTTGCAAAATCAATAAACCAAAACCTACCGATCGAAAATTTCAAGCGCGGAATTTTCGAATTTGTATTAAGGTTTGAGCGTAAAACATGGGTACTTGAAGACAGACATTCACCTGTCCTCTACCCAAGATATATCCACGGAATAGCTGTGGAACCGGAAATGCACATGGGTCTTTCATTCTTGAAATACGCACCAAGATGGATTGGAGATTCCGATGGCGACTTTGTTTGATTAGTCTGCGACACTGTCACCCCAGACGACTTGCAGTTTGGTGTGGTAGAATACCAAAACACGACTGTCATATGCTTCAACCCTTTGTATCAAGTCAATGTTTGCTTCGTCTTGCGCCCGAATTCACATCGTCACTATTTATCAGTCGATCCTGCGTAAATCCAAACGCAGTCACCAGCACCATCGAGTGTGAAAACCGTACTGCATTCGCCTGCATGAAGCTGTTCGAACTGATGTCGTCTTGGGCCTAGGATCGTTGGATGAACCAGCTATGTAGCTGCCATCGATTGCAAGACCTATGGAGGTCTCATCAAATGACTTTTCACGTAAAGCTAGTTTGGAAGCGGTAGATCCTCAGAAGAAAATATTCCATTTCATTTACTTGGGTTGTACAGATACGTAACTTATCTAGATGCTCAAACCCAGTTCGTAACACACAGGGTTTTATAATCCGAGGCACGTTGTACAAACGTAGCCATACGTCGTGACGCGAAAGAACATAGCAACCTGGTTTGGGGCAATGGTTTCAAAGATAGGATCGGTATGCTTTAATGTCCCTCAAGATCATTTACTCAGAATTGCAGACTGTCAGGCTTGAAGGCCATGAAGGTAGTCTACCTTTATTTCCACATCAATAGTGAGTGACCTAGATACACTTTTCTAGCTGTTACCCTTATGTATCATGATGAAGGTAATCCGCGTAATTTGCATCTAAAAAAGAACTGAATGAACTTCATTAGTCCATGGAAAATTGCTCTGAAACAACCTGGTTCTAGCAGTCGCAAGTATCGTCTACGATATTTCGTGTTCTAAATCTTCCTTTTCGGCTGATTAGGTTCCTGCTACAGTTGCAAGAAGACCTAGAAAAATACGGTAAGACTTTGACCATTTTGCTAGCACTTAGTGTTACGGAATGCTTCATTGAATCATTTTCGTCGAAGTTGATGAAAACAGAAAAATCTTGGAACGATCTACCTACCTCCGAACAACAGCTATGAGATTATAAAAATAAGACACTGGATTGCTTCCTGTAGAGTTCGACTGGTTAGTAAATTCGTGAGGACACCTGTAATTTTGCATCGTTAGATATCTCTTGAAGGTCATTCACACCGACGAAGAAGTAATGTCACTCAAGGTACGCCCGAATGAGTCTCCAGCAAAGGAGGTCGTTTGTTTCCCCGCTTTTGTCCAGCCGAGACTAAACTTAGTGGGAAGTCAAACGAAAATCCGAAGAGGGCGTTTTGGAAAACTACTTTAGACAAATCCATCGTACAGTAAAAATTCAAGTAACTTTGTAGGAATGTCAGAATAGCTCCTAAGGTGACGCTGTAAGTCTCGACCCTTGTGACCTTCTAAAGAGGCTATTAACACCGAAAATGAGATCAACTGCATTCCAGGCCGATTCTCCTCGAAACTGGAAACAGAGCCTGAGGTAGTCTATGAAGATCTGTAATTTTTTTATCTAATGAGGATTTAGTTCAGAAGCCAATGTGTCTTGCGATATTCCCTTCCAAAATTAATTTAAGTTCTACGCCTACCGCCTGGCTTTGAAGTTACAGAGCACATGTGCTTGAATTCCTTGTTCGAAGTTGCATGGTCAATTACGGCACACGTCCTACATTGCATAGTGTTCCTGATTTATGACAGCAACTGTTGCTTCTTACTGTAAAGCACATGAATAACTGACCTTTAACTACCCAGAAAGAGAAAAACAGCAGCGAAACGTGGTCATCCAGTGGGGATCACCCGCTGACCAGATTAAGGTGACCCCTTCCGGAACGGTCTCCATATGAGACGATCAACCTAATAGTGAATTTTACGGCCCCTATGTAGAAAAAGTTGATTGTCTTGGCTTCCTGCTTTAACCTGTCTGCACAGCGATATGCTACGGGGGTCTGACGATCCGTGAAACCGCATGAACTAGTCAAATGTTTGACCTGTCAGGATGATATATTCTCGAAATGAATGTTGAGCATCCTTTCATGCTCTGGCTTCGTCCTGAATCATGCAGATACATTACTTTGAAAACTTAGTTATGTCATTTTCACTGGAAACCAGTATCGCGAGTTTCGAAGGTAAGTGGAGGCAACAGTTCTTTTTGGATGAGGAAACGGTAATGGAGCCCAATGCTATATATGGACGCTAGATTTTGAGACCAGACGTGAGCTGGAATTTCCGTTCGCACACATCTTAGACACTGAATCATCATTCCGAATCACGAAGGAATTTTGCCGAAATTTATGTAAACCGAGGCTACATTCGAGTGCGTTATGAAACAACCTATCTTTCAGCTACGTCCGCCAATGGGTGCGTAAACGAAGTAGCGCTGTGAACTTTTGTGAGCAGATGACTTAGTTTCAGTACACTAACAAGAAATGGGAAACAAGGGTAAGAAAGGTTGCAAAACTAAATAAGGGCAGAATGGGCTGGTGGGTCAAGTATACCAAAGTTGCGCCATCTATCAGGAACCAATAGTGTCCGTTTATACCATACCCGCAACAGATTCGACTGAATCCGTACTGTCTGTCGTTTATGGTACTGCAATATAACATGAGGAATACGGAAACTGGGATCGACGCCCACATGATCAAGGGTGAAACTGGTAGTGAGCTGTCAAGCTATTTTCAGTGACCCTACGCGCATTATGTTCTCTGCTTTCCTCAATCCGCTAAGGCTGTTATTGGACTGGGACTTCCTAAGGTCGCAGTCAGTGACTTGTGTTTGCTTGCCATTATGGGCTCCCTGCGTACTTATGACACTTTTATGCGTGGCACATGGCGTTGAAGGTACATTTTTGCCATTTAATCTCACACCAGACCCAGTATGACGGTCACTTTGTGCCTGATGTGCGAGTCTTGACCGTGCTAGCGCACACTGCGCCTTGAAGAGCATTCACCATTGTTTGTCCTTTCTTTGGTTGTTGGTCCTTAGACGCGTGTTCCCATACCAAAATCTTTACATACTTTGGGATTCACCTCATCAGACTGGCACTGCCCTTGGCATGATCTCGAATGAGACGTTTCTCTCTTTTCTCCCATATTCTCCTGTTACTCTTTCGCATTCATCGCTTGCACTCATTTTTTATGTTTGTGACCATGCTCTTCAAAAATAAATGATAATAAATGATAGTACTAGTGGTGTGAACAACGAATATGAGCAAATAAAACTTATTTTGGCACACACTTGCGGTCACACGAGACAATCCGCCTTTTGGACGAGTATCGACCGGTTAGTGAATAAGACCCTAACTTTGGTCTACTGAAAGTGTTTTTATTTATGTCAATTTCGCGACAACTAGGCAGTCTTTAGGAGAAATCGGCAAATAGTTGAGGAGTCTACCACATATTCTCCAGAATTGACTATGGATACTCACCTCTCTTTGGTAGACTCCAGCGCTGTTTGTAGGGATTCACTTGAGTGGATCGCATACTTGTTTTCCTTTGGAGACCTCATCACGCTATACTCCCTTCGTAGCAAAGTAGCACCGGAAAAGTTCAACTGCTGACCAACCTAGTTTTTCTTGCGGCATATGGCATGATATGTGAACTACCGATAAGCTAATTAAGAAAAAAGTCCCATAATGGGATTGAGCTGATCCGTTCCGCTTCTTGCGTGCACTAGATAGGCGAGTGAGTGGTGCTGGCAGTTGTGATGACTTGACTAGCCCAAGAACCTCCCACGTAACAGCAATAAATGAGACCCTGCTCAATATCAGATGGTAAACTTCGCGCTTCAACTTGGTCATGAACAGGGGAACCAGCAAATGTCAGTGTGGTGGGGCCAGTGCTTCACCTTAAATGTGCCGGTACGGTTGCCCATCGAACGGCATGTGTGAGTAATAATTCATTTATCGTCTCCATAGTCATCTAGTACTATCTAAAAACAATAAAACATGTGGTAACAACAAGTATGTGCCCATTGTTGAATGTTGAATCCTTTGATTATACCACTGAGCTGTGAACAGTAATCTGCTAGTTTGGTTCGTATCGGTTTCGGGAGCTCACTTCTCAACGAAGTGGTCGGAGGACTGCATATAGCCACAACGGGTCCCATCGAGTACCCGGGTTTTTGGGCTTCAGGTAGACCGTTGAGTTTTTTAAGCTATTTAGGGAACAAAGTTATGGTAATTTAGCTTTTCTAGTCTTGGTTCTGACTGCTATTGTCTTCTGAATGACGTCCCTGTGTCTGAGCCCGTGCGTTCACGAACCAGTCAATAGTCTTGTGTACTGCCATGCTCTTTAGCTGGTTGGATTCCATACTGCTTCCATAACAGCTTGAGAAAAATGGTACGAAAGAAATTCCTTCCTTTACAGAGTTGACACTGCTACTTATTGTTAAGTTTTAGAGTAGAGACGGCGAACATTCTGACGTCGGAAAACTTTGCTTCGGAGATTGACAGAAAATTCATTCTGTCACGCCATAAAAGTGGGTCAACTGGACCGACCAGGACATTTACTTTTAAAGAAGGACCAAAACAGAATGGCGCACTGAACGGATTCCACACGAAGATTCGTCTCTATTTTCTATTAGGGTGGGGACCAAAGAAGTGTGGAGACTAGGATTTCATTACTTTTTACTTACAGTGCAATCGTTGGCCCATCTAAATTCACGTACACACGTTCACTCACGTAACTAGGGTGCACCAACACGCTCGGCCCATCCGTGCATCCACTTTTCAAGATAGCTGACCTCTGGAATCAGTGCAGCTCACTCCACTTCGGTTGTTGATTGTTATGTATCGTACAAACTTTCTACTGGTTGTCGCAAAAAACCGAAGGGATTGTGAAGCACTGGTGTTCTGGGTGGCCAAATCGGAGGGCTAGTAACAAATCTATTGCTCGCATCCGAACTGGCGCTTTCCTATTCCTATTTCAGAACATCCATCGACTCAATTTTGGAGTCACAGATGTTCAAGCCCCGACAGACTTTCTACCGAGTGGACATCAGGACTGTGCAGCGGAACGGAAGTCAGGTTTTATGTATGAGGCGTGAATCACGTCTTGTTTTGCTCAAATGTCCTACCCTCATGTCCAGTCTTGGCAAAGAAGGACAATATTAAGCATTCCAACTAACATGTGGATCAGTCCCACTACAAGAATGTGAACGTCTGTGACTCAAAAGTAAGTTAAATGGTGAATGGAGAAGCGTCAGCTTAGACGTGATCTGCAGCCGTTGAAAGAATGTCGAGGTGATCCATTTATGTTCGTCAGTGATAAGGCTGAGAATCACCATCAAAATCTATACCATGAGGCGATACCATAGGCTAATTTCGCAATTTCGTCGCCTCCATTTTCAATTCCTCTGGGTTTTCGAAACCAACTGACCGAAGTAACACTCTTGTAATTTCTACGTTTCATTTCTAACGGGAGCTATCACTGACTGAGTTAAAACATTAAATTAAATCCTTTAGGAATGAGTTTATTGTGAAAAACATTGAAGTTCATACAATTTTACCGCCTAGTCTGCGTAGCTCTGTGGATCGAACAAAGAAACCAATCATTTTCCACAAGACAACGGATCTAATTGGTCCATTATCCATTCCACGTTGTGCTTTTGTACCGCCAGATTGGTAGTTTAACTTCTATTACACTACAAGGCTTTTGACCGAGAACATTCACTAACCATGATCGACATGCGGATCTGTAGGAAGACTAGTCCAGCTACTTTGATAGACCGTACGTTTGACGATAGACTAACGTCAGGCTCATACGCAGCGCATGAAACCAATCACCACACCCGATTTAGCACATTGACAGTCACGTTCTCTTCAGCCAATCAACCAGTTGTTGATCACATGAGTCTACGCAAATCAATAATTTATGGTGGATTAACAGAATTCTGAAACACGTGAGAGGTACAAAATCAGCATAGGATAAATTTTAGCAGTTGACTGTCTTCATTGCGCATTATGCGGCGTGCTCTCATTGTGACATCCGGCGGGTGTTTTCAAAAAAACGGTCCGGAAAATGGGAGGCGCAACGGTAAGCCACCTGCCTTTTTTGGTATTTTCTTTGAATTTCGAAGGGCAATAGCGAGGCATATACGTACGCAGGCGTATATGTACGACAACAGGGCTTGTTGGAAGGATCTTGGTGCATCTATTCTGATTAATGTGTGGTATTTTTCCGATGACTCCATAGTGTCATTTACAAATTAGCCCTCGTGACCATTCTTTCACGGTTATCTAACAGAAGTGTCTCCTGAAATGAGCTGTCAGCTTTCTTAGGGTTTCCACTGGAATGGTATAACAAAGTCGACTCAAACTCTACTGCAACTCTACTGATTGAATTAATAAATGCACTACGAAGTGCACGATACCTCAGCCTCTATTCGTTGAAACCTTCCTGAGAACTGAACTGACCGAGCAATGAAGGATAACTTGTATGGAGGTGATGCACCTTTCAATCCAAATCTCCGACAACCAAGGAAGATAAACGGAATACTGGAAGGGGATCAGCATAGTGGAAGTGGGCGAATCGGAGATCAGACAACTTTTATGAGTTTCATAAGTCTAACACAGAGCAGATTGGGATCACGATCCGTTACCAACTGTGCCCTCAGCGAATCGCGTAGTCCAATTGGAAGAGGAGGGGAATAGTCCCATTGGCTTTCTATGATTGATATTTGTGGTCTGGCGATTTGGCACTTATGTTATCCCTCCATAGACAGACAACAGAAATTCTTAAAGCATTACTGTTATAGTAAGTGACACTTCCGACTAAGTGAGTATTCCGCTGATTTACAAGTAAAACGGACTCTAAGCAACTTCCTGTCTTTGCATAGTCTAACTGGTCGTTTGGATGTGAAATGCAAAATCTGCACCCGGAAATACACTGAATGTGGTATCCACAGGAAACCATTCTTTTATTTTCGTCTCCTCATATATCACAACTGGCAAGCTGCAGTATGTTAAATAATGCTTAGGGACAGATCGTGTTCGTTTCCTCATATGAATGCAAAACAATGTAGTCATACGCTTTTTATGATGATTGAACAAAACGCTATGGGTTCGATTCTTGATTTTCTCCGGGTCTCGGGGCGAGATGGCCCACGTGGTAACAGCACGAATTTACTAACCGGAAGGTCCGTGGTTCGAATCCAACCTCCGCCACTCGACTTTCCCCGTCTAGGCTTGGGCAACCTGGCAGTATCCCAGCCCTCGTGCTTCCTTCGGGTGGCATGGCAGCTAGGCACCGGAAGGGTGCTACAGCTGAACGCTTTCTCTTTCTTTTTCTTCGGATTTGCTTCCTGTTCTCACGGTTTCCTCTGGTTCAACTTACTAATGGCTGTTGATTTGTTCGCTGAGCTAGTCCATTCGTTGGTACTAATTTCATTTTTAATCGAGGTGGGAAATGAGAATTATAATCCGCTTGTTCATTGAGTTGTTCGCTGAATTCTCTTGGTAATTGACAGGTCCACTGCTGCATTGTGGATATTGATTTGATGAGAAGGCACACGCAACAACGTTATGTACTTAATCAATTGCATAGGCTGCATCTGTACATTAGAAAATTTTCTTTACCGATATAAAACCAATCACAGTGGTCAGGAGGAGCGATCATCATATACAAATACCAAATAGAAGAAAATCAATTTAGATGCACAGATTACGACGGACGAAAACACAACACATGTAGGGAGCTCCTAGAACCATGGCACTTCGCAAACAATGCAATCGGGATTTAGAAGCTACAAGTGTACACCCACTACCGCAAGCGAAGGACGCTCATTGTAATGAGAATACCAAGTAAGAATAAATCACCAATTTACCAGCTCGCGCGTGCAATGCGCAGCTACCTACCACCCCCCTCCAATCATCGGTGAACAAAACTGTGGCAGCTGCAACCAGTGAACGACGAGTACGCGGTTCTTACAGCTGACAGTGATGATGATGATGATGAGATCATCATTCCAAAAATCAAGACTTATCTTACGGTGAGGAACAAGGTTCACTGACGGGATATCGAAGTTGTTGAGATTTGAGATCGCCCAGGCAGGGGACAAAGTGCCAACCAGCCAAACGACTTTTCCCTTTAACACAAATAGAAACCCAAGGTCAACCTAGGCACATCCTACCTCGAGAATTGGAAACAACCTTAATTCAGACCAAAAGTTAATAACCTGACCTGATGGTGGGGCTTGAGTTCACAACTATCCTGTGAGTTACACTGGAAGTTGTCATGTAAAGCTCAGTCAACGGGGAAGCTCAGTTGAAGAAGTTTCGCAATCGTATGACAAGGCACTCAGGGAGAATAATGCCGCTTTCTGTGGGAACATTTTCTTGTAGTTAGCCAACACCTTCTTGTTTATAGTAGCACCGATACCGCCCTCCAGAAAGTAGAACAGGTTATAGAACGTAGGTCCTAAAATCTCACTCTGATTGCCCAATGTTGACCACGATTGTCGGCTTCTGGTAGAACAGTTAAAACCTGCGGATCCAAACGCATCGTTGTATGAATTAGCAGCATACGTGTGATATCTGTACCTTACTCTATGCGTCCCTGGGCCAAGTCACTCTGTTGCAGACCATTGGATCTTAAGCTTTCCAGGGAAAAACCTACTACCCGTTACCTTACAGGCCACTATCTTCAGTCAAAGACTTCGCACAGGGCCCCAGAACATACTCTCTATTCTTTCAGTACCTTAAGGTCTATATTTCTGAATCAAAGTTCAAAGTGAAATTAGTCGAATATTCCAGCTTCTTTGATGAGGGCAACTGTGGAGCACAGCACTTTTGCATGTCTTTGTTCAATAAACCTCGCTCACGTCCTCCATTGCCTCCCAGCCATTTCAATTCAGTCTTTTCCGCTATAATCCGCCCAACCATACTTCTGCATCTAAGCCAAAATGACCCTTTAATAAACTCAGAATATGTAGTACACATTGCAGTTTTCTTTTATCATACTTCAAAACAAAGTAGCCGGCAGGAATTTTTCGGAAAAAGCTGCTAAATGTCGTGTACCAAAAAACGCTTGGTTGTGCACCTGATAGAAATGAGGAGGGGTCCTGAATTTACTCCCTTGGTACATTTTATACTGGATGCAATCGTTTCATACCCACAGCATGAGAGTTGTACTTTGTCATATGACTGGATGCTGCTAATTACACTGTTTCAGTGCACGGCCGCCTTAACGTGATCAGGATCGGTTCACTTCGATGCCCAAGTGTTTTATGCTTGACGTCTCAACGTACCCAAGACAGATTTAAGCTATAAACGATGGCTTTTGTAGAGATGTCACAATCGAATGGATTAATGAAAAGCATAGATGTTCTTATTTTGACAGGTGTTAAAAAAAGTCCAATTCTGACGACCAAGTTCAGTACCTTTCTGAAGGTGGTCGATTCAGAAGCTGTCTCTGATTGGCCTGAACGAACCACAGCTAATTACGAACCGCCATACAGTCATAAACAGGTATGCATGTCAACATCGAAAGATTCAGACCCCATTTCCCCCATAATTAGGTTGAAGAGGTAAGGTCATTTAGACTGCCATCTTCGGTTTTCTGTAGCACAAAAATATCGGGCTACTGGCTGAGAAATGAACATACGTACAGATGATTATTTCATCTGGAGACTGAGTAAAACGGAATGAAAGAAACTATGCTCCCAACATTTTGGCCTGTCTGTCCATGCCGTCCGACTAATATCGAAGTCTTAAAGACCATAGACCATTATTAAGACTAGAACAGGTACCCCGGAAACCAACGACAACGAAAGCACACATAATTCTTTAAAACACTAGAAAATCGAGAGCCTAGAGAATGATGGACAGCTCCGGTAAACCACGAACGCTAGGTTCCTTCTAAGAAGTCACCATATGAATGACACGTGAATACACGTGAGAAGCTATGATTATTACGTTATTGACAAAACCCTTTACTAGGAACTGATGTTGCACGTTTTCCTTGGAGCTGTCCTTCAAGAGATATTTGTCACATACAGAATCAACATCATCAATTTGTTATTGTTTCCTACATAACACCAACCTGTAAATCATGTGTTTTCACCCATTATATTGGGCTCATTAGATCCTGCTGAGAAAACATCCTGTTTTCCTTATTCAACTATTCTGTTCCGTTTAAAAGTCAAAGGATAATGGTGACCTATTGACAATTCTCGAAAACGATGAAGCAGAATGCCTCGTACCGTTCGTTGCTCTCCCGTCAGAACGATATGAGAGCGATGAAAGAATCTTCAAGGAAGATACCATGTTGGATAGGAGAAAGAAAAGGAATCTGCTGCACGTAAGTGAAGCTGCTAATCGGTAAAACTTGGGATATGTGACCATAATTAGTGTTATTTTACGCGCTTGTTGTGGAAATGTTAAGGCATCCGGTAAAAATGAGAGGAGACCTGAAAATTATACAGGAAATGATTATCATAATCGAGTAAAGTCACACAAATCAAGGTCGGTTTGTGCATCCCAAGTTCACTTTCACAGTCATAACGTTGCAACCGAGAACGAAGAGCGATTTTACGCCTCTCAGACGAAGAACGCCTAGTATGTGTTTTAAGTAAGGCTGCATGGCACGAAGTTACTACATAATGGACAGCATACACAAATCCAGAGTTGATGAGTAAAGTTAAGCGGTTCCAGTGGATATGAGAACAAGCTGCAGCTCGGGCTAGTGGTTGGTGAAGAGTGAGAAAATTTTTAGAAGTTGCAAGAACTACATAGTCAAATAGGACAGCTCCCGGCAGTCCACAGTACACATAAACTTGTTTAAAGAAACTTTCAAACAGACCAGAAACTTCTCCAATACGTCTGGGAAAAAGACAAGGAGTACCAGCAGATCCAAATACAAAATTTCACGTAACATTCAACGAACTAGAAAGGCTGAACTTGAAATGTCTTTCATTAAACATGCTAGGTGCTGGATAACAGGGTACGACTGTACAAGTAGCACACAGTAAAGATTCCAGGAATAAGTGGAACATGACAAGTGAGGATAGTAAATTTATGGAGCACGTCATCGTGACGATGACCCAAAGTGAGGGAAATCAAATGTTGTTACTTGTCGACGTAAATGAGCTCCAAAAGGGGAAACGATGTTTAGAACGATCACTTCTCTTCGTCATGGTCTATTTTATCGAGAGCTCTTGAATTGAGATGCAGGTATTCCATCAGCACTTTGAACACTCACAGAAATGTTTCAAGAATGGATGTGTAGACGTAAGCATGCTGTTCATTCTTTTGTGATTAGATTGATTGGGAGGATAGAAAGAATCCAACAAGAGAGAGAAATCTCTCTGGAACTGAGCGTTACGTATGAACAGTATCAAGAGTTAAGAGACCATGAATCAACCCCTAGAGCTGTCGCTCATGACTGCGTTACCCGTGAGTGAATTTTACTTTTTCCAAGAGAACTGGCAACACAAAAGAGCTTTAGACGAATGTGTGTAGTAGACTTATTGCAACTCGTAACTAATTCATTTCCCTTCTCACCCCAACTATCGAAAAGATTGCTTCCATACTGTCTGCTACCAAATGCGTAAAATTGCTGGTCAATTCACCGTATTTTTGGGATCCGGATAGACTGGATGCGAAAGGTTGGACTCCCTTGCAGATAGCGGAGGATCGCGATGACCTGTCAACTTTGTACGAGCTGGCTGTACACTCCCGAGAATTGCGTCACTTCAAACCAACCATTCCGACAGACGGAGGCAGACAATTTGTTTCCAGCTGTCTTGTGTGGCCTCAAGATGTGCTGTTGGATCCATTTGATATGATTGAAGTAAGGACTGTGATTCTATTAGAATAATTCTGCAACCATTTTAGTTTTTGATAGGCAAGAACATCAAGTAATACACTGTCAGGGTTGGATGCGAAAGGTTGGACTCCCTTGCAGATAGCGGAGGATCGCGATGACCTGTCAACTTTGTACGAGCTGGCTGTACACTCCCGAGAATTGCGTCACTTCAAACCAACCATTCCGACAGACGGAGGCAGACAATTTGTTTCCAGCTGTCTTGTGTGGCCTCAAGATGTGCTGTTGGATCCATTTGATATGATTGAAGTAAGGACTGTGATTCTATTAGAATAATTCTGCAACCATTTTAGTTTTTGATAGGCAAGAACATCAAGTAATACACTGTCAGGGTTATTTTAGCTTAAGAACCCCCCCCCCCGCTTTCAGTTCTGTCCACGGTTATCACCACACCTCCCATATCCGTTTACGATGAACTATATACTGATTCATGTTCAATGAAGGGAACAATGAGGAATGTCAGAAAATCAAATTAACTTATTCATCTTGTTTGCCTCAAAAGGGGCTACGGTAATGAACAGTATTGTTTAACTAAGCCGCTTGTCCGTCTAGACAATTGTCTACACTGGACCACCTGTTACAGTACACTCGCATAGGATTTTCTATTCTACACCTGAAGTCATTACCTATTTACATAGTGACAGACAGCGTTTGCAGAAGGAACATCAAAGCGTTTTGTCGTGACGTTGTGGTTGTTACATGTCCACTCACACATTCGTTTGGGTGTGATTTGTGACCCAGTGCTGGGTGTATCGATTGCATCGTGATGCTCATTATCACGCATCATTTCAATGAATTCGCTCTCGTGTAAGAGTGAGTACACAAAGGGAAGTTGGAAGAAAACAAAAACAATGTTTTAGCCGTATAAAAAGTACTAGTAAGCATATTCATTCACCCCTACAAGGTTAAGTCTACTGCTGCAACTAAAACTCCCAACAGAGGTTGTTGGACCGAAATATGTTCCCATGCGACGTGTCCTTCCCAGAGTTGGTTGAAGATGGTACCGCAACAGCCCAGAAGACAGCTGTTTATGTAGCATTTAAATTATGAACACAAAACCAGTCAAATTAAATACACTGTCGGTCGATAAAAAAAAGTAGCTTGCTGCAATCCGTATAATGGAGCTGAAGTTGGAAACGCCGTTGGTTCAGAACAGCACCAGTTCAAACAAAGTTTAAACTGCATTCGAGGACCTGCCATTCCCCTTCAAAGTCCTGAACATCACAACGCTAGAAGACACAGATCATCGTCATCATCATTGTCAGCTGTAAGAACCGCGTACTCGTCGTACAGTGGTTGTAGCTGCCGCAGTTTCGTTCAGCAATGATTTGGGGGTGGGGGGGGTTGTAGGTAGCTGCGCATTGCAGGCGCGAGCTGGTAAATTGGTGCATAAATCCACAACTGTCAGTGGGCTGTCAAGTGTGGGGGGTTGGAAAAGGAGCTATGCATTGAAGGCAATAGCTTTGATGCACAAGCACCATTGAGGGCGCGACTGGGCCATGCCTGATAATGTCTCTAGCCATTGATGTGGCCCGTCTCGGGGTCCCCATCCAGGAAGACGGCAGTGACCAGCGCAGCTGAGTTTACTGGTAATTGCTTTCACACTTCGCTGCCAAGTCATTGTTTGACCGCCTCTGGCTCTCTTCCACCCTTCAATTGGTTCGACGAAAAGAGCCCTTCGAGGAAGTCGGTCGATTGGCATACGCAGCACGTGGCCGAGCCAGCGCAACCTGTGCAGTGTGATCAGTTCATCGAGGGTGAGTTATTTCTCCCGAATACCATTCGACGTACTTCAGCATTGCTGATCCGGTGTTCCCACTAGATTCGGGCAATGCTTCGAAGACATCGATGGTCACAGATCGGCGCCACAGACCGCCAAATGCGATAAGTGTCAGGATTGCATCCAGTGATTTTAACTTGCCTACATCAGATTTTCTGTATGGTCAGTGCAATTTGGGAATATCTGAAGGCCAGAAGATTTCAGCCAGTGAGGAGGAGTTTCCTGAGCGTGAGGATTTTCCTGTAAACAAGGTCAAACAACAGGGTATCTTATGCATCCCTTCAATAACGCTGTTTCGGTATTGCCAAACTAGCCATGTGCATCCAACAACGCAAACTAAACCCATTCGGACATGTCGCCCGTAAGCTGATTTGTGATTTGGTGAGAATGATCTAGATGCAATCGCTGTGCGGACCGAACGAATACGTGAGAGCACATGGTCAAATCAGAAGTCATAGTTCATACCGGTTGATCTGTTTATGGTATCGACAGCTGAAAACAAGACTTACGTTAAGCTCGCCACCAGAAGAAGGGCACAGGCAGCTCCGTGGGGATCGCCACCTCACTCTCTCTTAGGCACCATTAACATTAAAGTATGTTCATAGGTATCCGCAACAGTAGGAGAAAGTTATCAGATCCAAAAACACCTGTCTTGCACGTGTACGGTAGTTGAGCATCAGTGCCAACACTGACGTTGCTGTCTTTGATGATGATGATGATGCCTGTAAAATCATTGCGTTTTTTTAGTGGCTCCAATAAATTTAAAGGCAGTTCTTCCATTTGCATGTGCCCAAGGTATTGTGGACACTTTTCAGGAACGCTTTCCACGCTTTTCAAGAACTCTCTAAACGCTGAACTGTGTTGCGTGGGATCAAAATATCGATCAAATAAATGAACGTACCGCACCTTTAGGAATGAACAACTAAGTCTATTACAACAGTCCGCCAGAGTTAGATTTACCTACACTCACAAAAATTAAATTGTAACGAAACTCGAAGACTCAATCATATGGAGACCTTTGGTTCAGCCGACGCCTGGAAACGAATAAGGTGATCAGAATAGGGTGATAACATCGGGTGAAGTTTCAAATGTAACTGGTGCTTATCCGGTGGTCTACCTTGTCAGTTAGCATACGCATCAAACTGAACTCATTTAGCTACAATTTCACGATATTTTAACGGAAATTGCAGTAGACCAAGATAACAAAAGTTCGCCACGTAGCTGGCAGCGTGCTTCAAACAGAAGAGATTCAACAAACAGGTAATTGTATGGATGATCCGTCCTTGCAGAAAAATATTAGCGCAATAATTTGTCATCTAAATCACTACTCATGAGACATCTGTTTTCCGTATACTGCATGGCATTTGCGAAATGATACATTGCAACGATCGAGTGATGAACTGTCTGGCGGTTAAAATTGAACCTACTCGAAGTGTCTGGTCTAAGTCAACCCATTTAAATGTCTTTTAGATCAGTGACATCATCACCTTCTCTGTTTCCTGACGGAGATCCACCTTAAAATCTCCTATTCTGGCTTGCCCTGGTTTGGACGCCCAAAGAATCAGAACACTAGTTCTATATTCTCTGCTGGGAAGGTGATGACATTGTTCCCGATTCCACGTCTACGGAATAGTCTCAATAGCTGCGTACTTTAAGGGACAACTAATGATAACCCAGGGATGGATCTGAGCAATCAAACAACCAGTGAAGCGTAAGACTGCCTTCAGTCAGTGGTGGATAATCGCCACGTTGTCACATCTGGCAGAGTTGCTAGATATCGGTGACGTTTTCAGCTACCGAATTCGATTCTTTCTCACCTATTGGACTGTTCACACCAGGATTCTGTTTGCACGAAACCCCATGTTCAATCAAAATAGCATACACCAGTCACTGTAACACTGATAACATCGTTTTTACTGTAAGCGGCTCAGAAGAGTAGGTGACAATGGTCGTGGGACGAACAACAATCTTTGTTGTGATGACCGGAGTAGCAAGGCCACGGTTGCTTGACAAGCGACCTCATCCAGCAAGGACTCTCGCACTTGACTTCTCTTGTTTGACAAATCTTCTAGAGCTTCTTGTTACGAATGTGGAGGTTTATCCTTATTCGCAATTTTTTTCCGCACCACAGTGTTTCCACTTGTTGTGGTGAATTTGTGGTTTTTTGCGATTTACCTACGCAGAGGGGCTATCGCACGTAGACCACATCAATACCCCCAGCACCATTAATCTTATTCGTTGGTACACTGAGCGAAACTCGCATCTGATGCTTAATGCGAATGGGGTGAGACGTTTCAAAATTTCATGGCCAAACCAGTCTTTTTATCCATCTGTCCTGTAAGAACTCTGTGGTAGTTAAACCCTCCTAGTTACGCTACAAGCTACACCATCCTTTCATCAAGCTTCTGTCCAATTGACGTTAATGCCCCAGTAAAATGAGGTCGGACCAGTCAAACCAGCTAGCTATTGCTCAAGAAGTCACATGGTTATCGATTTTACACTAGTCCTACAGTCATCCTTCACCTACGGACCAAAGAGCCTTGCATTGTATTGCCTGCCATGCCGTTGTTTCTTTAATTCTCGTCTTCGATCAATGAGATCAGATCCTGTAGTAACATCCACCAACTGTGTTAGTGCGAGTAATCGAGAGAGTAGCTGCTACACCATGCAGTAGCTTGACTACTGTTTTTGTACATTCGACACACTCCCACCTCATCACCACCTAAAGCGGAGGTGGTAGGACACTAGCTCTTATGAACTTCAATGAAGGACGTGGGCGGACAGATAATAGACTGAACGAGCTCAAAGGCCCAGGGTTCATTATGCACTTTGTTGGAGGATGGCCAGTTCTAATCCTCTAAGATTACAGAGAGGACAAAATGTACCTTGATCATGAAAAGACCAACACCCGAATTAGCCCTAAGAGAGTTTCAACTTTTAAGGACTAAAGTTGTCTGGAATTGCCTGAAAAACGAGCGACTATGAGCAATCTTTTGTGCGGGTGCTAGTGGGCAGCACAATTTTGCTTTTATCTAACCTTTACAAATATTGATGCCCCCATGGCGCCTACCTTTAAGCTCACTCAACATTATTTGCACCCACAGTTTTATCTTCCTACACTAAGGGGAATCGGGCGAGGAGTCACGCCCTATCTTACTGTCAGAACATCTAAGACCGGCCTATCGGGTCGCTCCATGGCACTGCTCTTCGAATTGCTCCTGGCCAATCCTTACATGTCTACAGTCACAGCGCTTGTCGGGAACGTGGACCAAGATCCGTTCTCCAACAACGCCGATTGTGAGGCAAGTTGCTTGTGGCCAATGCAACCTATCGAGGTATCCTACATCTCAGACCACGACGATCAATGCCAAATATATCCAGACTGTCTCTTTCGCAGCTGGATGCTCTCATTCAACTATCAGGATGACTTCTTCCAAGCATTCAAAGAACTCTACAACATTTGGAAGTTTCACCGATTTGCGGGAAGCTACTCCGAAGAAAATGAGAACATCAAGGCTCGTCTCAGTCCAATCACACTGCTGTCTGCTTGCCGAGTTGCAATAAGACGTCATCTTGTGAACAAGACTTGTGAGTTATTGATCTTTGTGGCTAGTTTTGAACAGACTAAGGCCTATCTGTATGTAGAGAACCGGGTGGATGTGAAACTTGAATGCGAGCTTCCGGATGTGGTTCCTGTCGGAACAGGAACAACCCAACAATGCATTATTTCTTCGGAATCTGTCAGACCTCAGAGCTGAATGAATTTTGTCTTCTTTATCATTTCCGATGCAAAAAAACACCAGAAATTAATATACACCATTTTTTAATGTAGTAGTGGCCCAGATAAAGATTCCGACCAGTCTTTGTCAAAATGGACGCTACAGAAAATTTTAGTCTTGTAGTAAAACCTTCATTTGATGCATTTTGATTATGGACAGAACAAAGCGTCTTGTAACAGCATAGCAATCTAGACCATTGTAAACTTCGCGCACATCTGGTACCGTAACTATTGAATAATTAGCAATACGATTGGTCTCCTCACGGCGAAATAGTGGCTAACTTTCATTTATCTTCTGCAGTTCCGTCCATTCCAGATTCGCAAGCGTGTATTTATCCCAACTACGTTCGTCACGTGCTCCAACTTGGTTTACCACAAATCTTAACAGACTTCCTTCTATATCGTGAAATGTGGCCAGACACTGAGTGGACCGAACAGCCTCGGTGGAGAGATCGAAAAAAACGCCGACCCCGCGAAGTGAAATTGGACGCACATGGACCTGGATATGTTGTGGACAACGGATTCATTCCCAACCTCAGAATTCCATGTAATGCATTGCCGTTCAAATATACCGGAATTCAAAAGTATTCTGAAGGTAAAAGAGAAGCTGAACTTGAGAAAACAATTCGAGGCAAAGCCTATTGGGATGTTAGATTGCCAAATCTTTTGGGGAAAAGCATGTTGTTCGGTTGAGTTGCAAAGCTACAAAACTAACGAGCGGTTTTCGGGATGGTGATCGCTTAAAACAATAGCTCATCACCACTGGCAGCCGCACAAGATAAACCGAATGGTGAATCAGCTTGGATAAAATGCTCTTATGATGTAGAGAGGAAAAAATAAGACAGGTAGGGTGACCCAGAGCTAGCCTATCACAAACATCTAAGATATATACACCTACAATTACTGCGAACAACAGCCGACTCATCGTTTACACTCAGCTATCTCGTCTACACGAAAGCATCTGAGGAGAAAGGTAGTGCTGTTATTGATACTTGTTGATGTTCCCCTTCGTGGGAATTTACATGGGCAGTTATAAGTTTAAAGCGATCTTATTGTCGTCTCAATCTCCCTTTATGCACAGGAAGTGTCAAAAATTTACAATATGCAAGTAAAAGAGCAGCTTGACGTACCCTTGAGTTATATCGGAGCAATTATTTATCTAGTTAGGTGAGGTGTTAAGAGGACCTCCAATGTGAATTCAAGCATATATCCACCGCACACTAAGAACTAGTTGGAAAGAGAAGCCACTGTGGGCGCAGCGTAATGTTTCGCTCCCCACCAGCCTGAAGTTAATATGCTAAACTTACCATGACCATTTTATACCCCGTTTGTCCATGTGTACATAGGTCGCACGTAACGAACGAAATTAGTTACGCAGAAACTGGCAGAATGTTTAACCGTCCAGAACAGATCAAATTTTCGACAAGCAAAAGTCAAGGATATTCCGTAGATCCCACGTATTTATTGAAAAACAAAAAGGGGATTACTTAAAGAAAGCGGTTGAAATGTTTACCACCGATTATCACGAACCTCAGGTCGAATTAAAATAGAGACCTTAGCCAAGTAGGCTGTCATATGAACAGGAGCAGTAAGAGAAGATGATGAGAAAATACTATGGAACGGAAGTTCAATGGCGCGTTGTATATGCATGGAAGTCAAGATGATGTTTGTGGAAGCACACAGATGACATGAGTCTATAGAGATGAACGTCATCCCCTAATGACAAAAGAGGACAATAAAAGCATGCTTATGTTGAGCGGAGAATCCCGTACCACGAATAAATTCGGGAGTTCTATGTCCAGGTGATTAGGGCAAAGCTCTATGATAAAAGTGGGGCCCGTTCAAGATGGGCTGATGCACTCAATCAGACGATGGGTGGTGGTGATCGCACATCGAAATCGAGTTCGCCGGAATCAGTGGAAACCTAAGACGCAAAGATACAAAAAATATTATCGGATATCTGACTGGAACTTTGTGAAATAAGAAAAAGACTAAAACACGTAGTAAGTTCACTCTTCGTAAAGGCTGTACAGGAAACGCTGACTTAATGGTGGATAGATGATCATCCTTAACTACTTAAAGGTCCCAAGTAGTTGAAACAGACCGCAAGAGATCAATGAACTTGTAAGCTGCTGTGGAGAGTTCTAAAAAAACATCAATTTCCGTAACACTATTAGAACCCCCACGCAACATGCCTGTATGCACACACCGGCTGATCATGAGAGCTCAAAAGAACAACTGTTGTATGGAACGAATATATCTCAGAATAGCATGGGCGGCAAATAGTTGGCCGTGTGATGCCAACAAAGTGATGGGTACATATTTGTTGCAGAGTTTTCTTACTACTTCCGCTCAGTAAAGCTGTGGTACTCAGTCCGGGACTGTACACAAAGATGCATATGGCCCATGTGTATGAAAATAAAATTTGAAGATGTGCTCTTTAAACAATTTGGAGAGATATATGGTACTAATTATAGATGGTTTGAAGTCAAAGCACAACATAGTGGAATAAGACGGTACAATCAGTTGACTGTACACACCAGTCTCTAACTCTATTAACAGCTTACTTATCTAGTAATCTATGAGGGCATTCAAACACAGTGATATGGAATCAGATGTAAGGGTTCATTAATTACTCTCAGTGGAGGCACCAGGCATACTCAAAGGACGTGAACGTGGAAAGAAGTGCAGGGTACTCAAACGATGCATTTTATCATATACTCCACTCATATGGAGACGGCGATGGGGTTGCATCATCATTACTGATCGCCTATATCGGTGAAAACCATCGTTTTTTGTGCTCATAAGGACAACATGATGGTAATATCACATTTTCCTACCAAAAAATATGCACACGCCCACGCTGTCACGCCCAACCCATGTCGATTAGTGTCCACAACATTCCCTCGTAGCCATATCCTGAGATCCCGATTGGGGATTCGAAACATTTATAGGTGGTATTAAAACGTGCAGAATATTGATATTTGCTCCTGGGGGAGACTTAGCACTCCTGGACGGTTACATTAGTTGCGATTGCATCCAAAATCAAGGATGGTATTATGCCCTTCTAAAGGTTCTGACAATTCAATCACATCCATCATCCTATCGAAATGGAATAGAAAATTCAGAATTTCAACTGAATGGTTCGTATATTTAAATTGAGTAACTTTCAGGTACATATATGAAACACCAACCTGTCATTTTTCCACAAGACTGTAGATAAAACACTATAGCGCGTGTTGTCGCTGGCTCTAACAACCGCATTCAGCTATCCATTTTCGAAGCCTAATAATCACCAACAGTTATCAACATTAAATTCCCACAACATAGCTCCTTAAAATATTTCTAAAACCTTCTATCCGATTAATAATTGCTGGGGGTATGGTGCTAGTCTAAACAACGAGAACTCATGGAACGCCTCTTCTTCCAGAACTCCCTCCAAGTGAGCATGGCACGGGGAGTTGTCACATATAACGACGATCTTGTCCGCCGGTTCGTTCTGATTGGAAAGGACAGATCTCAACCGGTTTAGAAAACGTCGTTTCCGTTCAGAAACTCCATCGCTTTTGATGAGATCATCCACAGCTACTGCACAGAGGATGTGCAAATTTGACCCACGAGCACGGCCGCTCAAGCACCCTTTCATGAGCGCCCACGCGTTCAAGGTTGAAAGTGGTCTCAAATCTCCCCTTAAGCTTCACACTGGAGCAGTCTGAAAGTATATATTCGTCTACCTTCCAATAGACTCTGAAACAGAAAGGGGATTCTTTATCGCGGAAAGTTAGTATCGGGCCCGGGTTGACGTAGTGACCTGCTTCCCGAATTTCATTTCTACACACAAGTGAGATTTCACCCCGTATGTGAAGCGTATCTACGCTAAAAACCTGGAAGGATTAGCTTCATTTACAGGACGAAACTTCAATTGAAGATTACCGACACTCCTCAGACTACCATCAGTCTATATGTAGCTCAGGGAAAGAGAAGTTTAACAAGACGAGTGAAAATTCCATCTGAGAAGTGGCCATCCGTGTAGCTAGTCAACGTTAGACAACCTGATGTGGTTTGTTTGATCGAGAGATGAGTGGCTCTATATTCTGTCTAAGTGTGAGTTAATCGCAATGCTATTCAGTCGCTCTTGACCGTACGATTAATAGTTCAAACTACTAACCAGTGATTCTCAATAGAGATAAGACAGTTTTTCGACCATTCAGCAAAGAATTACTTCAATTACATGACGAAATCTTGAGTGAAAATTGCCAAATATCCTCACACGACCATCATTCTGAAGTTTCCATTCAGGTCAATATTTCTAGAATCATTAACAAGTACTGTTTAAAACCTCCACATCTGAGCACCTAGATCCACAACGTTCTCTCTCCGAATTCACGGGGCTCAAGATAGATTCACTCCGTATAGGGCATTTAGTTTTCGCTAGTCGCATCCGTTCGCGAGATCCTCAGACAAGCGCTTTGGGATTTTGACAGAGTGATGGTTGCACCTGCCTCGTCATCACATCACTGAAACGCAAACTAGACAGACTGGATTCTAGCTGTCTTATAAATCTACGGGCAGTTCAGCGCTGAAGAGGAAACACTTGAGCGGCATCATGTCTGCACAGAACCTACGTCTTCCAATCACCTGCACCATTCCGGTAGCTGGATATTTATCGTCTCAGGACCTTGCTTTTAAACTGTATTATGGTCAACGAAAACAACGCGCCAAATGTACTTTTCCGGCGTCGAAAGCATTCACGAGACCGTTGCCCGTAGTTTTTTTTCAGACGAACACAGTATGTGGATTAGCCCGACCCTGCAAGCGAAAGTGAGACTTGGGCTGGCGTTAGTCTATTGTAGACCCCGATGCACATACGGGATATAACGAACTGAATCCAGGTCATTTATGGCGACGTCCGAAATTAAATGATACAGTGGTGAAAATAACCAGGGCTTATCCAGAGGAATTATTATGGAGGCGGTCAGTCGATATTTCTTGAGAGAAAAAGTCATACAACTAGATAAAAGTATGAGCAAGTGTTTTCTCCCATGCAGTATTGGTACTCTATCGGTTGACATCGTACCGTTACGAAAAATAGTTTCTGTTTAATTCTGGTTCAGAGAAAAACGAAGGGTCAGGAAATTGATTGCATGCATCACCGCCCGTCTATTGCAGAGCATAAGAGAGTGACAGGCACTTCTTGGTTAGTGTTAACAACAATAAACAATCTCGAGTTTCTGGATAAATCGACCTGGAACTAAGCTGTACTTACCAGGCAAACAAACAAGTCTGGATGACAGACACCGTACGTCACGAGTGACTGACTGGAGTGATTGACCGACATGAGGAGAGAAATCCTAAATGTACTTGTACTCCTGGATGAAAGGTACAAGCTTTGGTACGTCTGTCTAGCAACATAACTGAACACAAAATGCGACATCCTTGCTTAAACCGTCGGCATAATAAACTATTTCAAACACCAGTACGGTAGGTCCTTCATTGAAAGGCCGCTTGATTTGTTTGAGACGCACCAGCCCACAGTAATGAGCCATCGAGGTATTGAGAAATGGATTGGTTCAGAGTAAGCCCAACAATCATATCTACCTTTCCTAACCATACATGACTAAACCGGCCAGATGGCTTCGACATTGGAAAGGAGACCGAATTAGTGAAATCCACTCATTTGCAAACAAATTCGGTTTCGCGCGAGACTCGCCTGGAATCCAGCTGAATCTGTCGATTATGATGAAGAATTTTCAGCAACCTTATGAGTAGTGTATTATGCGTATACAGAGACCGACCTTTCTTGGACGATCATTGCCCTGCTAGCATACTCACAAAAGCAAGTTTAGAGAAGGGAATAGTCAATGACGTCTGTTGAGCAATATCAACTGAACAGCATGACAGGCGACGAGAATGAACAACCGCAGGTGTTCCTTAAACGTATACCGCATAAAATAAGCGGTTGAAGCCAAAGTCGATTTTTTAGGGTCAGGGCAATGGTATATCGACTGCTCAAACGAGCTAACACAGTTGCTGGAGTTATGCAAAGGCAAAACCCTTTTAATCGGGTTCGGCGGAAAACAGGTGAATATGTTAAACCATATTTACTTACGGGAAACTACGATTTTAAGGTATAGGACATGTATCTGTCGCTTCCAGTGTTGGAGGTCTATTCATGATTTAGAAGAAAGGCTCGTTAGCAATGTTGTGGAATGTGGGTAGATCGGGTGCGCTGCTTGGTTGTTGGTCTGTTCGCCGAGCTTGGCAGTTGAATTGCAAACGTTTCATCACCCATCGTCAGTGCTGCACTGACGATGTAACCTCGATGGGTGATGAAACGTTTGCAATCCTGCTGTCAAGTTCGGCGAACAGACCAACAACCGAAAAGCTCGTTAATCGAATTCGTTAAACCGGTACCCTTATTTACCAGCGCCTTCTCGAAAAAAACGGAATGTGCAACCACAAACTGGGTTACCGTACCGGGCGAACGAGACTGACTAAAATCGTATCAACCAAAAATCCAGTTAATGGGCAACATGATCGACCAGTCGGGGTTGTCACGTGTCGAGTAACACAACAAGATATGTAAAATCGATATCCGGAATGAGCTCCTGGAAATCGATAATCATGGGAATCAAGCAAAATCTTTGTTACTGATGTATCGTTTGCTAGATAGGAAACTCCGGAGCCCGGTGTCGTGGACGAATAGACGACTTGATAATCCAACAGCGTCCGCCATCGCTAAACCACGAGGTCTTTCGTTCCCCTAACCATTACTGGAGGATGAACGTTGAAATTGGTACCAGCATGAGTTAGAGGCTATGCAATGGTAAGATATTTTGTTGTAAGAAAGAATGTTGAAGCGTAGGTTAAACACTTTAAGCTCCGTGTCATTTGTAAAGTATGGCGTCAAGGCCGAAATTCTGCAGCGTTTGCAATGGGTGTTGGCTTTGATGAACATTTCTTAGCAAGCAAGTTGTGTTATATCCTCCAAGGCTTACTCGATCATACGCAAGGAAACACCATCTTGAACGTGAAGTTCCCGGGTCAAACAAAAGTGAATGTAATTGAAGTTGTGGTGAAATTCATAGGCGAGAAACCAGGAAAAAAAGCACAAGTACTATACACTGCATCTGGGCACTCGTGAACAAACTATCTCTAAAAAAGCCTGCCATTTCACAAACAAAACATACCAATCAGACAAAGTTTCCGTTGTAACAAATTGGCACAGATCAATGTAAACCGAGCCCATTTGGTGTGTGCGTCCACTTCGGGTAAATAAGCTCACACGATTTCGCACCTCAATCAGCAGACCATGACTGGGTAACTGATCCACGCTCACATCAAAATCAAAACTGCAAAGATGGACAAATGCAGACAAGGATGAGCTATCATGCAACATAAAAAAATCTGTACAAATCGATCTATCAATTTGAGACATTCAGCATAGTTAAATAAAATTTATTGTTGTACGGAAGTGAAGCGTCAATGTCAACACTGATTTTGATGTTTCTCGTGGTAATGGTGATCACGCAAACCAGTTGTTGCTCAGAGGTGGCCTGAAATGCCGAATAAAAGCGGTATTTCTCACATTGCCACAGGAAACCCAAATAGGTCGACTGCATAGCCGAAGTCACGCAAGTCACATTCAGTGGCACTGATGCCACCTGGGCCTACGCCAATCTCGTGCGGATCTGTGGAGAGCTGAAAAAATGGGTCGGATACAGCGGATGCCCACTCAACAGCAGGCATTCACTCATTCCACCAGTCAGTAAACAAGCTTGCTCATGCACTCGGTGGCCAGGGGTCGGGCTACCGGAGCTGTCCTTGAGGTCGTTTGTCTGGTGATGCGATGGGTGATCTCATTTAATTTGCTTGCGCGGTAACCATTCGGGGTTTACCATCTTCAGAATGCTTTACGCAAATGGAGCGCATACCCCCAAGCCAAGGAGAACGGGGCACACGTCAGCAAATACGATACACTCCAGAAGGCATGTTCGGCCTTCCACGCGATCCAGCCAAATCACTTGCAATCGTCTGCCTGAATGTGCTCCTAGTCACGATACTGAATCACTAAAGCTGAAAGATGTCATGATTGGCCAAGAAGAGCAGAGGCGAAGCCCATTACCAACAATGCTGTTTTCGGAAACAGTTGAGGCATCGCTTAAGCTTACAAGCACGTTTCCATCTGACAGTCTGCTTGAGTTAGTTGGCCTTCAGAAAACGTCTGTTCACTTAATGGCGGAACAGAGTATTTTCGAGGATTCACGTACATCCCGATTTACAAAGCTCTCTACATGGTTTATCATTCTATATTTGATTCAGGTTACAGTCGTCGAGAAGCCAATTTTTCGCTCCTAATATACTTTTTTGGATGAGCATACTTTCAATATATGAAAGACTGTCCACTATAGTTATGCAAATGACCGAATAATTCAAGAGATTCTGACCAGAAAACGTCCAGAGTTGACTGTTTAGCACGGTCCATACATCAGTAGTCTGAAGGAGGATGTCATTTTACCGAGAAAACCCCAAGAGAAATGACGCTGAACGAGGTTCTGGCTCACCAGCTTCCGTATGGATATATACTCAAACGTACTGTCCGTAGGAACATGCAATGCTCACTACTCCCGGAGAGCAAGACGACGGTTTGTAAGTTAATTGGAAACAGGGAATCTAGCATAGGAAAGACTAATTGATATGGACACCATGGGTTCCAGCGGCGAAAAATTAATTTCATCATATTTTGGCTATACTTATGCCCGAAGCCCTCCAAAAAGTAAACGATGGGATAGTTCGGTGTACAACCGCCAATTTGTACTAACCTCAGATGACGTCATTTTTTGAATCAAACTCACTGCCTAATAAAATTTATGGATCTAGTAATGGGTGTTGCACCTGGAGTCAAGCAAAAAACACATCAACGTGGACCACGTTTAAAGCATTCACCAGTGTATCAGTGTATGTGAGATTTGAAAATGTCGTTAGAGCTCAGATGAGGACCCAGTAATGCATATGCGGGCTGTTGTCAGGAATGGCAAAAAAGCTACTTTCGCATATATTATCCTTATGGGTCTATACGTGGGTCTAAACACGACAGCTAGTATCTCCCAGACAGACCGAGTGACGGAGGACATCGTACAGACCGAACTACAGCACCCCCAGGCTGGTCACCGGGGTTATTACCACCACTTTGTCAAAGAATCCTTCAGCTGAGCAGTATAAGAAAAGCAAGTACAAGAAAAGCAATACAATATGGAGTTGACACAAGGACTACAGTTCACAAAATTGGTAGAAGAAAATCTCCTAGCTGTAGCACCCTTCCGGTGCCTAGCTGCCATGCTACCTGAAGGAAGCACGAGGGCTGGGATAGCGCCAGATTGCCCAAGCCTAGACGAGTGAAGTCGAGAGAGGTCGGGTCCGAACCACGGACCTTCCAGTCACTAAATTCGCACTCTAACCACTTGAGCCATCTCGCCCCCAGAAAACTGTTAGACGGTCAATATGTGACAACACTTATGAAACAAATGACTACATTTGTAACTGCACAAGGAATCATAACTGCTAATGACTAAATGTCCTGGTAACGAAGTGATCTGAAATGTGTAACGAATATAAGGTCAAAACCTGTAGGTACGACTCGAGTGGTTCCAACTGACGCCAATTAGCAGCTACAACCGTTCTCTGTTCAAAAGTGTATCAGTGAGAACATTTTTCTAGTCAACACGTTACTCCCTCCTATGCTGCCGTGTGACTGTCCACTTCACGAGGTAAATAAAGTATTTATCTCCGTGAATCATGAAGCGTCATACATATGACACCCGAGTGACACTAATCTTGTAACAGTACTTTAGTTCACTTGGTTAAACCCGTACACTTAATAATTCATGGTTTCTTTTTACATACGCACGTTGTCAGGATATGGCGCTCGAGTAGAGATCCAATCCGATCGTCAAAACCTGGCCATCCTGTTCATCAATGCATGTGCTTCGTCGAACTTCGAATACCAGGAAGAATGCACCCAAAGTTTCATTTACTGGTCTAATTTCCGATCTGTACTTCCGATGTCAGTGTGTTTCTACAAATTACACACAAAAACAATGGTATGACACGGAGATGCATGCACAGTCACACAGTTAAGGAGATCATGCCAGGGTTTCACGTCAAATCTATGTTATTTTGTTTAAGGATGATGACGATCCCTGGAAAACGACCTCGAAAAACGGGCAGCGGATGCGCGGGGTGTAAGTACGAGGTAATGACAAACTCTCTACGAGTACAAGCGATGGTAAAAACGACTGAAGGAAGCGAAAGTCTAGTAGAATATAAGCAACATAAGAGTAACGGCACCATATCGTACCGTAAACCCGGATCTTTGTGTCACCCAACCGGCTGAAACAGCTTTTTCATCATGAACGGTCAGCTGTATTGTGTTCTAGAGCATCTTTCCAATTATTTCGACTTCACTCTATGTAATTATGTGAACACCAACTTGCTCTACTGGCTTATTTCGGAACCACTGATTACACAATGGAGACGTTGGTTAAACGCCGGTGTGGGGTAAAATACACTCCAACGGCTAGTTGACCAGGCAAAGAAGTGTCTCCAAGTGTTTTGGAAACAAAGCTATCTGGGACGCATTACTTTCGATGGGGCGGCAACCGCAAGGTCAGTAAACGACGTTCAAACCACGAACTGGGATATCCACATCAAAATTTGCTTGGCTGATTGAGTTTCTAAAGGTCGGCAGCTGATCAAATTTTAAAAGGCCCTCCCACACACCAAAATTTCTCAAAAAGGACTCCTCTTTGTCGGGGAAAGATAGTATGTTGAACGCTATCAAACCCAGTGATGCAACATGTCTGTACCTACAGTGGATATGTGAACACGGCTTAAATGAAGGTCAGTATCGGGGTTGGAACCAGTATAGGTCAATTTTATCTCCATTTCACTTCACTCGTAAATTTTTCACAATGATGCAATGCCGGATACTATAGGACAACTATGTCCTTTGCTCATTTGAGCGAAAGTTCGCTTTTGACGGGAGACTCAGCTGGTCGCAGCTGAGTCTCTCGTTTACGACATTATCAAACTGGATCTGCTTCACAAAGACCGTCTTATGTTTCGGCTGGTACAATATTCGAGATAGCGCAGTATATTTTCTTGGCGAGAAATGCATCCGGATATCGGTTAAGTCTTCCGTTAAACCAAACCAATGCGTGCAGTTCCCGCATTATGGTCAATTTAGGTTCAAGTAGAACATAAGGTTGACGGAAGCCTTGGAACTGGGCCAAAAGAAGGACGAATAGTTCTCAGCAAACGTATGAATCACTATTCGAGAAAGGTATATATTTTACTTACATTGAACATCCCTATGGATGAATCTTCTCACTTAAAAAAGTTTATCTCTTTAGAAGGTAAGCATCGCTTTCTTTAGAATTGACTCCACGCGACACACCCATCAATATGCCACCATATACTGATAAATACACCTTTTCAATTTCGATCGCAACTGTAAAGATTATGGTACGTTAGGAAACATACTGTGACCAAATTGTGCAGCCACATGACTGTTAGGCAATGCTGATTTTACAGCATATTATCTGAAACCCCCTTGGCCTTTGGAACACTGTCTGAAACGTCCAACAGCTTACCAGATGAAAAGATGACCACATTCGGTTAGCCAATACGATCAAAACACTCACAATCATCCGAATGCTGAAAGATGTCTAGCATTTTTGTGTGGGAAATAAACTTACCAGGGGAATAGAATGAAAGTAAAATTGGCCCACATTGACGCAAATGCCTACATTGACCTAGATTGGGATTTTATTCAACCGCCCAACGTCCCTTAGACAAACCAACGCTTAGTGTGTGAAGGCTATTCTTCATTGGTAGGAACAGGTACATCAAATCACCGGGCCCAGTGGCATTCACTAAACTACTTTGCTACAACAAGGAGGGCCACCGTCGGGAAATTATACCGTGCTAGAGGATTACCTTTTCAACTTTGTTCGATGTTGGCCTTTGAATGAAGGTGACTTTCAATCCCACTAGAAAGTTACTTTGGGTCATCGAGCGTCTTTTTACCTACATGTGGTGGTCCCTCTTGAGGGGGGTTTACCCAAACACTACGCTTGCCCTTACGTTAGTGTTTCAACAGCAGCAGGTTTATCTCTAAAACAAAGGAGGTGATGCGGCTGTTAGAACTTCAAAGCGGAATGCCAGCCTACTAAAAATAAACAACCATAGATACGAGTGTGTAGGTATGCAACCATAGCCAACATTAAAACACCGGACTGAGGATGTTACCTCAATTTTGGATTTAAAGCATCTGCGTCTTTCGACTTTGAGTGCTGGCCGACATAAACTCGCTGACGCCCTCTAAAATCCGGGGCACTGTCAGGTTTCGGAATTCCACTAGACAGCTGACGCGGAACAACATTCTATGAAACTCCGTTCAGGAGCAGTGTAGCAACAGCGAAGTGGTGCAGATCCAACAAAACGCGTTTGTGCGGATATGCCTAACAGAGAGACTATTTCGGCTGATAAACTGAACCAGATACATGGAAATACTGCATCCGCAGCACAGCCGTCGCACAGTCGTTCTAGCGAGAACTCCACAGAAAGCACCATCTTACACATACCTTTACATGGAGCACAAGACAAACTGAGTCAACGTCTGTGATGGGGACAAGAGTTCAGCCAATCACGATCCTTTACGGTCACCGTGTTATGACGGACAAGTTCGTGTTCGCACATCGTAATGGTGACAGGATACTTCGAGAACAATTAATTCAGAAAAGCGAACGCTACTCTGCTTCAAGGCTAACGAAGGTATATCTGAATATCAATCTTACATTAGTTTGTAGGGATATAACCATATAGCCTCTAGTTGTGGAAGCGACGCATGCGGAAAATTAGCCGTCACTGACGCTACCCTAGTGGTGGAAATTCGATCCGTAGTCATAACAAGAACTTCCTGAGACGGATCGAAAGCAGTCATGACAGGCAGGTAAACGCTACAGAGGAGCTGGGGTTGGAGGAACATTACCGCAAGTATTTCAATGGTGAGGACAACAACAATGAAACGCACTTTTTCATGCTTTGATTTGCAAGCGACTTGAAGTGTTAGATTGTGAAACCGAGCATACTTTGGACAATCTCCTTTTTCCAAAACGGATGTTACCGACTAAATCAGTAAGTAGGAGATCAAACCAGAGGTTCTTCACCGTTTTGTATTTATATTATATTCACATTTATATCTATATACATATCTATATATTAATGTGGCGAAAGCTTTAGGAGCCTCTGGGATTAGCAATTGGAGTAAGGAGGTGCAGACTTAACTAGTCAATCTGTTCATCATGACCGGAAAAACGCACCTACTTTAATACGTACGTTTTGTTGTCGCAATGTGTCGACCAACAGTAATAACGCGAGCATGGTGGATTTGCTAGGATTCAGATCCCTTCGTTAAAACTGATATCCCGACGTGATGTTGGTCCACGACTGGGATCATTTTAATACAATATCCTGGTTTTTAATGAAGAACGGCAAGAACAATCTTCAGAGTGTAGAATTTGGTGGTTCTTACAAGGTATATGGAGCGCCACCCACCTAACTAACAGACAGGGACAAAATGTCCCTGTGTAGGCAGCTGTAGTGTCCTTCTCTAAGGACGCACACATAATTAGTTCTGATAAACCTAACAAAATGTGGCTGCATCCAGGCGAACCGCTTGCCCGACAACACTAGGGAATGCTCGTTTTTAAAGAAGTGGAATAAATCAGAGACAGGACAGCTCAAAACTAACCTGGCTTCATAGATTGGGTTCAAACTGTTTTTCACGGGGGACGTTTTCTTCTTCTCACCCCAAACTTGACCGTTATTGTCCACCAGAGCGACTACTACGTACGGATCGGCCAAACCATCTTTATCAACTCCACGAAGGTTACTGAGCATAAAAGGGAATTCATAGAATGTGATATTGGCCATAAGCCAAACCGAAGAGATGTTCCGTATACAACGGTGTAACACAAGTGAAGTGGCTAGTATCCCTTAGATAGTGGATGCAGATTGTTGTGCGGGCCAAGAATAGCAAACGGATGGCTCGCGAGAAGGGATGCATTTAGTACTTCACTCGGGTGGAGATTTAACAAATGATCACAAGTGATAACATGATCCTGTATGTTAAAGTTCGAACTTAAAAGTGTTAAACCTAAGTGCTTTTGAGTAGCACTGGTGGAGCTAACTGTAAGGAAATGCTAGCAACACTCGGCCCCTCAGTTTAACTCTGAAGAACCGCAGATTCCCGGAACTTGCAGGAATAGTAAACAAAGAAATCAAGTATCAGGAAGTTAAAAAAGTGTGAGCATACCTGGCTTCATGAACTATAACGGACAGTAAACTTGATGTAGCTCTATACTCGACAGTAAGTTTGATATTTCCAAGCTGCTGGCCATTGGTGCGCTCAGGTGATGCGCTGACTTCGCGTTTCTTCATATCGGGACTCTCCTCAGGAGTACATTTCTGTTGCCAACTTTTGTGCATTTCCAATTGGACTTGATCAAACGGTGGTTGCTTAAAAGAGGGGATATGAGTAGGAAATTAAAAAACCGAATTTAGTCTTGTGTTTTGCTTATTATTCGAAACAAACGTGGAAAAAAGTCGGCATATAAAGTGTGACCACAATGAGAACAGTTCGAGTGGCATACCAAACCACACCAGACTGCCCATAGTTTTGTTTGAAAAAAATTGCTGTGGGAGGGATGGATATAGGAGCATTAGACATTGGCATGACCCATTGGGATGCATGGATAAGCAGAATAAAAAAGCAGCATGCCCGCGTAGATAACATGACTCCTTCTGTAGGTCGTGAGCAGAAGATTTACTACGGCCAACACATGTAGAAAGAGAACAAGCACTTGGAAATAGACAAGCGCTTTCAAGTCCTGAAAACAGTAGAAATTGTAGAGAGGCGTGACGAGGTTCTGAAAACCCAGGAAAATATGGGATACTGTTTTAAAATTCGTGTGCTGGCAAAAACGACGCTCTTTGGCCAACAGGGTTCCAGAAAGCAGTAAGTTATAACATGAGACTGTGCGTAACAACAGAGAACTTACAAAATCTATGAGCAGCAGAACACTTATGTCCCTAGCATTTATGCCGGTGGTGATATAGTTGCACGCAACTGCTGTTACCTAGGCGACCTTGCTCCACAAAAGTTGCACGTCCCTGAAGGACGACAAAGTACCACCGGAAAAGCATACAAAAGTACCAATCCTTGGCTTATCTACCAAACGTACCTCTGGTGATCTCGTCCGTTGACGTAAAACAGTATCCTCATCTGTTTTCAAAGCATTGCCAACTAACTCCGACCTGGGATCCACAGCATTCACTTGATTCGCATCTTCGATTTTGTCCTCTTCCTCTCCATTATTTAATTCAACAGGCTCTACTTTGGGCCGCGGGACAAGAGCCTTGGGGGAAAACAAAAAAACGGGAACACTGAGTCAAGCTGAGCAAAGTACTTGAAGTCCTTTGAAACTCGAGCTGGCTAAATAGGACTGCTGAAAGCTTAATCCCCGATCAGAAGGCACAGCAGGAGGCTAAAATGCCGCTACATTTGCGGAATGACCGAATACCGAAGTGACCCTACGCAGGTAAATTCCCAAGGATGGTTGAGATGCATGGTCCAATGAGTTACAAATCAATGCATAAACCTGGATCGGTCTGCTTACGGTAAAGATATTTTTAGCTTCATAACCTAGTGTATCGTTTCAGCATGATAACTGGCTGATGGCAATCGATCTAGCCCTGCTAGTAACAACAATCGTGGTAATATGGCATCCATTTCCAAACTGGTTTGTCGCATCAAGATAAGCGAGTAAGCCCTGGGCGCAATGGATAACGCTGCATGCGGTTGGCGCTGAGCCGAATGTGCCTCCAACTAAATGTCTTACACCGGAGTTCGAATAGTAAACAGAAGGGGGCAGTGCTGAGACTACAACATACCCCATAATTTTCAAGTCAAGTTGGAACTACTGAACCATTGAGACACATAGCATATGTAAGCTGTAGTCTATTGGCCCACTCACAAGATGAACTTCAAACAAACATACGGCCGGATGATGGTAAACATCAGTCAACACGGTCCGTACAACACTGCTGTAAACTTCACAGTTTCGAAGGTTCAAAATGGTAGGGCGAGTAGTCCTATGTGTAAAGCGTAAAATTACAAGAATGAACTCGAACAAATAGAATAAAATGCGAAGAGAACACAAAACAACACAAGAAAATTTACACAATGAGCAGCAAACGGCTATGAGACAGCGATGGAAATATACGGACAACCGGTAACCGAAATCAGTCAGGAAACACTGAGGTCATAAGGGAAAGAATGGACGAACACAACCAGCAACACGGTGCCGTAAATTCGTTCCGTTTACCGAAAAAACACAATGCAACTAGAAAATAGTTGATGTTAAGAGACCCAGGTATACCTTTAAAGATGTTTTGACAAAAATTCTCAAAGGCACCTGACAGGATAGTCAGAGCACCACGACAGAAATTTGCACATATGTGACCTGGTGTCAAGTCGAAATGACCTGAGAACTGCGCGCTGTTCGGGTTGTACCGCGTGAAAAGTTCCCATAAAAATAAGAAAACAAGTGAGGTTTCATAATCCGGTGAAATGGTTACGAAGAACTGAAATTCTCCCCCAGTCGCATACCTTTAGTTCCAAATGCAAATGGATTGTCGCGGTTTCTGGACCACATTCTTCCAAGGTGAACGGTCGCGTCACGGACATGTTTTGTTCCGAAATTAGAAGCTTTATAGGAATGGAACATCTTCCAAGCAGTTCTTCGCCACGAGCATCGCGAACCTTATTCCAAAAATATTGAAAGGAAATGGTACAATGATATATACTATTTGGGCAAAAATAACAGTCATCTACAAGGTGGGAATAACATATTTATCGCGGTTATCATTTGCGTTGGACTGTTTGATCGGCAGCACGCTGCGTCGCTGAGAAGTAAGAGAACAAATCAATCAACTGGCGTTTCAAATCTCCTATACGTGGAGTGACAGACAGATATGACAGATTTCTGAAACACGCAATCCATTAGGAACAAGAACATGGAGGTTACAATATGCTAATTGGCCATTTGGAACTGTAGACATTGATTGGTAGACACTCCACACACTACGGACCAGTAAGGTGCGACTGCAAGGTCGCTGAATTTACTTGTCAGTTCGCATACACTTGTGTTAATGCTCACATTGGTAGAAAATTAAGGTGTTTTTTACAAAGAGCAGGCGAGCATCTGTGAAGACACGCATTTAACATAACTCAGCAGCGGTAAATAAGACATCTGTCGAAGACTCGTAACCCGTCTTCATCATTTGGTAAAGACGAGTCGTTCGTTCGACACTAACGCACCATACATCTTGTTGAACAGTCTAAACCACGAAATCTTAGAACGCAAAGAACCACGGTCATTGAAATAAATTCAACAATTCGGCAGGCTCACAAACTACCTACTCGAGACATCCGTTTATGATGCTAGTTAACGGACCCTTACTCTACGCCGTGTTACATGTACCCACTTATTCTCTCCCATGTTGCTACAAGGCTGTCTACCTATGGATACCCAAGGCAATAACCGATAAAGAAATTTAATATTAAAAACTATCCCACTTATCTCGTTAGGCGTAGGTTTCACTGGAATGATGCCCAAGAACTCGGCAATCGTACTTTAGTGGCCCTACTGGCAAGTGACAGTTGGACGACGCTCATTATGAGCTACGGCGTTAACAAGCTGCTTTGGGTATGTATCACTTGTGCAGGCCAAGTACAAAACCTAAGGAGAACACCCACGGACACCAATCCAAACCACTATGAAGCTTTGCATACTTCTTTAAGAAGTGTTCACGTTCGCATCATCCTCGTTGAAACAGTCGTCCGCCTGTCCCGATATAATTATACTGGTGAGTTCACATGAAAGGAGGGAAGCACTGGCCTCAAGTTTCGCTCTTATAAGAGGACATCAGACCCGGCCCTACCGGGGTCTGAACTTCACACATCTGGTATGCGAGGCGAGCGTTTTATCGTTACTCTACCAGCGCACGCTGAACGCAAGTGAGTTTCCACGTCTGAACAGGCAAACGTGTTCATGCTTGAGCGACGTGAGTGGTTTGCCAAACCACTCGAACGACGACCCAGTAGCTGTCCCGGTTGTCCTATGGGCCCGCCTGTCAGGAGAGCCTAACCGACGTATGAAATCTTCCCGACAATTTTTTTCGTCATTGGTTTTCAGAAGGGATACATTTCAAGTCATGAAAGGAATCCGCAAAGAACATTCTGACGTGAGTAAAATAACTGATCAAAAACTACAAATAGTCATCCAGGGTGGCTTAATGATGGAACTGCTGACTGTTACTGATTTTGATTAGAAATTGAATGGAGTAGTTGTAACACACTCGTCTAGCATCTTCGATGTTCGGAGTTCAAACTCCGGCATGGCCGAGGATATGCATTGCTGATGAGCTTTCATATGAGGGAAACTCGAGCCCAGCGCTTTCCCACTTTCGTGTGAACTCACCAGCATAATTACGTTAGGGCAGGAAGAAAATTTTTCAAACGTGAACACAACAAATCCTGCACACACCAACAAAATTTAAAAAATGCCTGAGTGAAATGCAGTAGGGCTGCCAGTTTTTCGAGAAACACGTGGACATAATTCACCAGACATAGCACTGTCCGAATAAACAATACGGCCAAAAAAGTATGGAGGACCGGAATTACGTAATAGTGTATGGTGTGATCTTCTCCTCGCAAAACCGGGAGAAGTAGACCAACTATTATATCAAAGCACTTTCCAATTACGGTACAACCTTATAGTATACCGAAGACCAGATTTGTCCTGTGCACTGACGGTTGATTTGTTTTTCACACACACACCACATACCTCGATTCTTAGGGATCATTTGATATTTACATGGGTTTCCTCCGAAAACGGACTAACCTTGATTTTTGGAACAAATAACTCACGCAACAGCTGATATGCAAACATCCGTCCACTCTACGAATAAGTTAAAAAAAGACTGAACACTCACGATTATCTGCAGTGTGTCCACGTACGGATCCCCGACAAGGAAATGATGAACTGAATCCCATGTCGGACTCTGGGTGTATGGTTTTGGTCCAGTCTTCTGTGCTTCACGACCCAAGAGCAAGTTGCAAAACGGCGAGGGTTCACGCATTTGTTTAACGCGCTAGATGAAATATCGAATATACTCATTTAACCATCCACCCAAGGGAGACAAGAAGGAAGAAAAATCCTTCCGGAATGCAACCTCACATTAGTTTGCGCGACGAAAACATGGTGCAATTTGAAACAAGAAAATACAAACAATTGTCATTTATTCGCTTTAATGCTCCGTAACTAGAAGACCCACCGTAGGGAATTTCACCTCAAATAATTTTTTTACAAAAGTCAAATGCCAAGTATCTAAATTGGTTGGAAATCATTTTTATCGGAACACGAATTACATACAAAACGATTATAGTTTAGCAAATAAGGGTTGCTGGTGGAACTAGAAGTTTTGACAATATTACCCTGAAACACTAATCGAGTGTTCGTAGTGAGAAGTTATGAAAGAAGCAGCACTCTATCATTAGACCTAAGCTTGTGTGAGAAATACCTCAGAAACCCTTGCTGAGGAGAACCGCACTGGGAGACGCTTTCGCTTTTCCCCATCTGAAGCTCCCAGTGACCTTACGGACATTATTCACACACGGACGATGAGCACATCCTCAGTCGGTTACTTCAACAGTTAGTGTGAACAAGACGTGCAAGTGTTGGGTTGGTGAGTAAATCCCCAGGAAGACGAAAGTTGGATGAAGTCAGTCTGACGACGGATAAATCCCTGCACACAACTAGAGTTTCACCTATGAGGGATCCAATCATCATCGTCATCATCAACAACATCGATAGCGCCACATCAGTGTTCGACACAGATACTTCGCTGCCGTACAACCATTTGTTTAAAAGCCGTATTGTGAAGAAAAGAGTAAAGNACTTATTTGAAAGCCGTATTGTGAAGAAAAGAGTAAAGGGAATGGGGAAAGGACTGGGTGCTATTTTACTACAATCATTCCGAGGTGCCTACACCTCCAGACACTCATTCAGACAATCTGGATAGAAACTGACACGGCCGCTACTGACATCGGTTGGCGGCCATATCTTGTAGTGTCTCCAACCAGGCACAGTGAGGATCACGCCGTCCCCATCCTGGAAGGCGAGTAGCACCGACAGCACCCAAGCGTTTCACACATACCTTCATACACCTCAGTCAGGTGTGTGCTTCCGTCACACTGATTGGGGCATGGAAAACAGTACTCTCTTCGGCCAACCACGGTTAGGCATACGCAAAACATGTCCCAGCCAACGCAGCTTCTGGTGCTAGACACATTCTTCAATGGCAGTACCCGTTGCACAACCGAAAACTCGCTTTCTTATTGGCATCAACACACAAACGCGGCACAGGAAACGTAGGTAGAAGCGACTCCGTACAAGTGCGGGGTTGGAATCTACTAATGTGTTCCGAAACGAACGGCAGTGAGTTATTGGTCCGCGCCATCGGTAACTGATGATACTGATCGATTTGAGTTTAGGGCCAATATGCCGTTGGAGGATACCATGTGGCTAGATGACTTCGGCTATTTCGGAAGTTAGTACTGCGATCAGCACACAGCTGAAGCAATCGTTCACCATTGTTCGTACGTACCGAGTCCAATCCATGTCGACCTCCTAATTGAGTATCAGATACGCTAAGCCTGCCCATTCGTGCATTCTCCAGCCACCACAACGATAACTGAGCTTTTAGCTCGCCACAACAGGGCATTCAGGGTGTCGTAAAATCTTTCCTTGACGGCGTCGGAGCTAAAATCAGTTGGGGCGTAAGCAGACACGATAAACAGACATCGATTAACCTCCCAATGGTGAAACTCTTTCACAGGCGTTGCCAGACGAAAGGCACAGTCAAGCAAGGATACTTCCGCCCGGTGACTCAGGACGATACCAATCCCTGCACACCCCGCCGCAGCAGTCTCTGGATCCCTTGAGGTGGATAGCAGGAAGCGAGTGGAGACTGATGAGGCAGTTAGCTCAACCGCCGTGTTTGAATCTTGAATCCTTGTTTCTGAGACAGCACATATCGATGCCAAGCGAGTCCAGTGTGAGAGCAAGAGCAGTTTGTTGACCTGTTTGATTCAGAGTGCGGACACTGAAGCCGGCAAGATAGACTGAGCGTCGAGGCTTGAAGATTGATTTCGAGATACCTGAGGATGTCGGCGCCATGTGACGGGCAGATGTTGCATGCAAAACCGATGCAAGACGAACTGAGTACTAAGTGCTGGGCCTACAAGGGGAGAGTTATTAATGGGATGGGGAGAGGGAATAAAAAATGTGTGAAAGAGAAAGAAGGGAAGCATTGGCAGTAGCCTGTTGTCGCTTACCCACTGTACGCAGCGAGTAAGGCGACTTGGCTGATGGCGCCACGCGACGGCCGATATGGGATGAATTATTGTTAGACGTAGGTATCATGATTGTACGTGGGTTGAGGTACTGTCACGTCGCCCACACCTAGACAGGAAGACGGTTGGGGTCCTCGACCAATGCCTTTAGCTCAAAAGCCTAACTGCAAAGCGGCAGTGTTTGGCGGGAAACGCAAATGCAAACAGATGAAGCACCTGATTATCACGAGGTCATTTGGAATCTAATGGACTTGGGTTCTATACGCGATCGGAGTGACGCGCAGATATGTGAATGTAGAAGATTTCATGAAGGATATCGAGTTGACCTACCATGTTGCCTTGAAATGCGATCCAGAAAACGCTCCACGTAGCCACGACATTCGCTCCCGGGCTGCGGAGTTCTGGGAAGAGGCTTGTTTGAAAATGGAAGAGGAGCTATATCTACCGGATTTAAACGAGTACTGTCCAGTAGCCGCCGGATCCGAAGCTATGTAGCCAACAGCTTCAAATAAGGGGCCTACTGAATCACATCCACGCACCACCATTCCAAGGAGATCAGTCACTTCTTCTACTATTGCTGAACCCGCAATCTCCACCCTGCGCCTTTGTTCCTAACTACACATCTGTCAGTAGCGAACAGTCATATGATTGCAAACATCTGTGCTTTCGGAATGGAGGGATTATATTCTGCGCACAGACATTACACATATCATGGAAAGGTAAGAAAGGAAGAACTTCTGAACCATGGTCCACGACCCGCTAAATTACCCTAGTGACTGAATCAAGGTTTGTTTTGCACCGACGGATTCAACGACCAACTAAAGTACACAATAACTAGCAAACCTCAACTCCCCGAAAAAGCTGTTCTACTCTAACACACTCACAAACAGATATTCACTATGGTAAAGGGTTTATAACGTTTGATATTGACAGGTATAGAATCAAAGTCGTTTCAAAAAATGTTTGGAGAAAAAAAACTGTTTCCGAGCTCCAGTTTGATTTCGAAACAAAAACTTCATTGATCAAAACGAGTGTGTTAGAGTAAACTGATTTTTAAGATAAACAAGGGAACACCCAGCAAGATCTAATATCATGTCAAGTCATTGTTGGGTGTAGGTTAAATGCTCCCAGTGTTAAGTGTTGGATAATCGATGGGTTGCAAGCAAAACCATGAAGCAAGCTCGGGTCGGGTTGCATAATATAGATCCAAATCATTTCTGTGATAGCCTCAAACCGTTGCACATCTACTCCACTAAACTGAATGGCTCTACACAAGTTCACTGGCTCTACGACCTCTATGCGATTCATCAAGGGACGCCTAGAGATTTCCCAACCTGGCTAATGATGGGTTGGTTGACTGTAAGATATCTATTGGTTTCCTGTAAACGGTAGTTTTGTACTATGCAGTCCAGAAACGCATCCCAAGTGGATTCTACACTTAACTTCAGGCTGGGATCCAAGGTATTCACGCATGCGGGAATCTCATCACTTTTGATCACTGTAAGCGTCCCCAAATGATGCCCAAATCTCAAGGTGTATAATCGTATCCGGTCAAGGCTTTCTTTTTGAAATCTTCCATAAACGCACCAGCCAAAACTGGGGTATTATTTTCTGAGAAAATAACTGAAACAGAAACAAAGTGACCTACATTCAGCCAAATCTTTTCACCATCAGCTTGCCGTGTCGATGAAGTGGTACTGTTCATTTCGATTACCGATATCCCTGCATTTCTTGTCTTCTCTATTTACGAAGGGCGTTTTGAAAAACCAGCGGAAACAGTGCAAAAGTCCATAGCCTGATTTATGATTCCATGGACTGTTTGTCCACCGGGAATTTGCACCCAGCAGGATTGTGGTGAACCTCCCAAAACGATTACTATGAATAGCAGTTTAACAACCGAATAGATAAGAAGAAATACAAAACGACACTACGGATTTGAATGAACTGATCAAGTTTTTGGAGGTTTATGTGTCGTACCTAGCACGCCCAGGCTGATGCATAAGCGTAGATCTCATTAAGATATCCGATCCACAGACAAAAAATCAACTGTCATTTTTAGCTAATGACAGGATATGCATTAAGGTAACTATAAGGTTAATAAATTAGAGGTCCAAACACATGTATTAGGAACGAAATGAAATACTTCAGATTGAAATCGAACCGTCCACCACCAGCATACCAGATGGGTACTTTATCAACTGAACGTGAAAGGTGTCAATTGTTACGTTAACTAATAGCAATTCGTTGGGTCTCAGCAAACCCTCTGACCATGATCACGCAAATCAACTACAATTAGGGACGATCAGGTTGCTTCGTATCAGTCCATTGTGTGAACACGCTGCGCAAGCATGGTCATGTAATGAAACAGTTTGGAATCAGCTGACCGAAATGCTTACCAAATAGTGATACCCTGGATTAACACGTTCACACGTGCAGCGGACAACTGCGGAATCGGATTGACAGTGCAGCGAGCATTTGCACCTGCACACCAAGGTGACGAATACATGCAAATAACGAAATAGACACGCCGGATAAGGTTTAGGAAGCCCGCTAGCTGGGAAGTGACTGCATGGCCCCACGCAGTAATTCTGCACCTTTGTTTTCATCTAGCTCCCAAGGAAAATTCCTTTCCTATAGTCCACAAACTAAGTGTTGTATTTACTATGGCTGACCAAAAGCGCACACATTTGACCCAACCGGGATTTCGGACATCTGACACACAAGGTGAACAGCTTAGCATCGATCCAACAGCGCGCCTGAATTAACGGACAGAAACAGGCGAGCCAACATGTTCAGTGTCAGGTGATACGCTCTGTAAAGTGGGTGCCTCCAACAGCAACCAACAGGATAGCGTCACGCCCAGCGTTCAGTGGTGGGACAGGTCTTCCGTCGGGCATTCCATATTTTAACACGAAAAAAACGATCAGGCCATGAAACACGTCTGATTTGCGTTTAGGGGACATTGGGTGTCTCCGAAAATAAGGCAACATTCTCGCTGACTTCGTGCACATAACTAGTCACGAGCAAAAATTCAGCTGAATTGAGTGAAAATGCTTACAAACTTTTGGAAGCAACAAAACGCTGAACAATTCCTACTAAATGAAGAACCCTGCTCCACTGTTTGCTTCTTTATCGACCTATTGATGAAACTAATTGGGCGAGTACACACAATGGTTTCTCTTCTCAAAAACTCAAGATCCATCACGATGGACTGCTGGATTCTTCGGCCAACAGGCTGCAATGTCAACCATAATAGCTAATTGTGGCTGTTAACAAACACCTGTTTAAGTGGTTTCTTGGCTCGACGGTGCAAAACATTCGCTGCCAGATTCAACTAAATTTGAGTACTCATGTTGCTATGTTTCTCGTGTTCCGTATGATATGAGAAACCATACCCGAGGTCCAATTTCCTGGTTGAACCGTAGATCGGAGGTATTCAGTCAGGAATACGCAAAGTACAGTTTCATTCTGGTTTAGGCTCAGCATTTAGATACGGGGTTTACACTCCTATTAACGCAACAGTAACAAGGGTAACAAAAAAATTAACAGGTCCTGGTAGATGTTTTAAATAAAAGACTTTACCAATATATTCACAACGCATGAGTTGACGAATAAACGTTTTCGCCTACACTTACCCTAATGAACTGATCTAAACTTTGAACCGCATTATTTGCGTCTGGATCAACCCATTCAATCATGTTGGCCAGCATGCGCTGTAATTTAACTGGTCACGATGTCAACTGTTCAGCCGTGAGCAAAAACGAATAGAAGTTAGGCAAAAGCAATTGTTGTCTTCTGATATTGGAGGTTAGCTGTCACTGGAACAAGTTTGAAAATTTTTCTCTGCCCTTACTACAGATAATGAGCCATGGTGAACAGGAAGAAATGGTATACAGATTGTCGGTTGACCAAACTGCTCAAGTAGCCCAACCTGAACTCGATAGCTCTTCAATGTCGACGACGCCCAGGTTACAAAAGCACGCAGCTACCCAAGAGGTAGATTCTAGGTGAAAACACGGAGGCTATTTTGTACGCATTCTCAAGAATCTCGTCAGCTAAGCGACAGCTGAATGTGCAAGACAAACCCAAAGCCATCTGAACGACGTGGATTGATGTTAAATATTAGCCGAAACGGATGTTCGGTCTATCAACTTGACCACCACAATTCATTAGCTTTAGGAGGAATTTTCTAAATTGGTGGGAGATTTGTAAGAAATAATGAGTGGGATGGCAACAGTAGGCCAGCAGGTATGCCTGGCAGCTGATTCTCTATAAATAGTACAACCGTAGAAAAAACAGTCTGCTTTGATTTGTGTTGTAAGTCGCTGCTAAGGGATGAACAGCTGGTGATCCACAGGCTGTATCGCTCATGTGGATCGCTGAGGGTGATTAAGAACAACTGACAACCTACATAAAAGTGATGAAAGGCAGCAGGCTGTGAAGAATCATCCCGTCGGCGACAAGTTGCATCATAAAACATTCAGAACTTAATGGAACCGGAAAGGAAGTGCTAGTACGAAAATCAACTCAAAATTACCTCAAAAAATAGGCGCGAAAAATTACTGTTACTCTAGGCCTTCGGGAAGGATTAAAGCTGAATCGCCAAGCAAGCTAAATCCGCACTGCCACAACTTACATAAATACGTTTACCACGCCAAGTGATCTATAACCGGTATGATAGACATGATTTCAAATGCAAAGAAATCAAGCACAAACCAAAAACTGCCTGTAGTTACACAAGCCTTGGATCTCTCTGCGCTAGGAATCACTTCGTAAAAATCTGGCTAAATAGGACTGTTGAAAGCTTAATCCCCGATCGGAAGGCACAGCAGAACGCTAAAATACTGCTACATTTGCGGAATGACCGAATACCGAAGTGATCCTACGCAGGTAAATTCCCACGGATGGTTGAGATGCATGGTCCAATGGGTGAGTAGGGTTGACGTGCACGTCGCTTGTGACTTAGTACCCATTGTCTTCTTGTCACAGAGATGACTTCCTTAAAGCATGCATAAACATTGCATGACAGTTCCATACTCACGTTGACCAAAATGTTCATGCTGCCAAAAGACGAAAAAGGTGTGTGGAAACAGTTATCTTACCCCTCATTAGCTGAAAGGATATGAGTCACCCTTATAAGTATGAACAGCTTGGAACAAGCGCGAAAGGGAACTTGGAGATCAAGTCTGGGTAGGAAAAATATTGCGTTCTGGAAAAATGCAACCTAGACCTTAGGCCACAGCTGATTGCAATAAAATAAACAATTTTGGAGTTTACTTCTAAGAAGGCAAAGCCGAGAACCAATGCGCACCTTGAGATTTTTCGCTTGTTCAACCACGACGTACAGGAAACAGGCGCTCATTGCAACTCCGAATGCAGCCCGATATACTGAAGCCTGTTCAGCCGACTGGAATAAGGAAAACAGCGAAGAGCGTTTGAAAGCCCAAGAAAGTAAGAAGGTTGTTTATCAAAGCAAGAGCTGCCATAGCGAAGGAACAAAAATACCGTGCTATTTAATCTAGGTGACCAAAAGTAGAGAAACTTCCGTTAAAAAACGGGGCTCAACAAACATTAACACTGCTTGCTGCAATCAAAACTAGCGCGCGAAGGGATGCACTGAAACATTGGAGCAGAGGGTATGATTGATTAAATTGGAATAGGGGTCACGATTTCTCGGTTATTTATCTGAGCTCACTGGTAGAGAACATTGTTATCAGCTGATAAATTTCGGATGGGTCACAAGTGAACCACGCGGTCCGACTAAAGGGTATAGTGAAGGTATAGTAGTGCCACCCAAATTGCTCACTATTACGTTTGCCCAACACGTGAACGTTAAGAAATAACGAAATTTGTGTACTTTGAAGGGGCTATGCTTAGATGGTCTTATGAAGAATGGAGCACTGTGTTTCATGTAGACGCCTCGCCAATCTCCAATTTGGTTTACGTGGCAAGCTTTAAAGATGACCTTGCAACGCAGTTCTGCAAATTGGTAAGCTGAGACACGGAACACCTCGTTTTGGTGCAGAGAAAGGAATTCGTCATGTTTACAGGTGTTGTGAGTGGAAACAAGCGGATGACTGACAGAGAAGAAGAGGTTATTTTCACAAGTACAAGAACCTGACAAGGCAGATAGAAGTGAACGGAATAGGTCTGAATTGGGAGCATTTGTCTAAACGCCAATGTGGAGTAGAATACCTTGAACCAGCTACACACTACCAATGCTAAACCTTATTTCCTAGTCAGTGACCCCAATACAGTGAACCGCAAAACCGCTGCCGTCGCTAAACACTACGCCGCCTTTGTTGGCAGCTCATTCAGCTGCAGGCCGTGAACGCGGTACGTCCTGATCATCTATCACTCATGCTGCACAGGCTATGGGCTGATGTTACTGCCAAACCAGTGGCCGTTTTATTCCAAAGGAGTTTCAGTGATGAGAAAACCACCAATTTTGGGACAGTGGCAACGAACAAGTTGGTAGCCAAGATAGTGTCAACGAGGTTTCTTGCACGTCTGTATTCGGAATTCATGGCCAGGGCTGTATGATGATTGTGTAACTAATCCTGAAAGCTCCGGTGTGTGTGCTACTGCGATTTTAATCATGGGGTAGCATGCAAATCCAGAGGAAACAAAAACGGTTCACGAAAGGAAAAACAAACAAACTACAAACATATAAACTACTGATCAACAAAACGCAAATCAAATGTGCAACCACACCGCACAGGTTGGTATTTGAGAAGGACGGTTTAGGAAAAACGAAACATAGTCAGAATCAGCAGGCAATTGGGAGCCAAAAGCTAAGGTGCCTAACTGCCATACCACCAGAGGGAAGCTATAGGGATGGGATACTGCTAGATCGCCAAAACCTAGGCAGGGGAAGTCGACAGGCGGAGATCAGAGTCGAACCAGGGACCTTTCGGTCAATAAATTCGCGCTCCAACCACTGAGCTATCTAAAGATCGACAGAGTCGAAAGCACTTTTCAGGCCGAAAAAATGACCATCGTTGGACTCGAGGTGCGCATTCAGCATAGGGAACAAGCGAACTGCGGGCGATGTAAAAGCAGTGCGTACGTCAGCACCGATAGATCTCTCGCTCTCTTGCAACAATGAACCCATAGTATCGTTATAAACCACAACCAGTACACGGCTACCTTACCATATGAGAGGACGCCACCGATAATCCTATCCGTCTGAATAAGTGGTAGATTGCAAACTAAATCGCCGCTAAAAAAGCGATATTATGGAATCTCAGTGGGACTGGCTTATCCTTAGGCGCGATTACTCTCCTTAGATTCCACATGACTTTCTAGTGAAGTGGTTTTTCGAAAATGGAAATTATGAGTTCAGCAGACAATGTCACTGGTTAGTCTGCGGACCAGAAGATAACAAATTGCCTGTTGCTTTTCACTTCGGGGTGCCAAACGTCTACCGTCCAACAAATTAGATATCCCTACCGTCAGGAGCAAAAAACACTCAGGCAGATAACAATAACGACAACATTCTAGCATTCAATCGCTGCAGAGGGAAGTTCAACGAAAACGGAACTTTCAAAGAAAAACGAACTGCTCGTTGTTTGGAGTGCACAACAAAAGGGAGAATTTAAGGAATCACACATCGTCACACGTCACCATACTTTACAGAGCTGAAATTGCGACCGCACGCCCAGGAACATTACTCACCGGATTAAAGCAGAAAGAAGAGATGGAAAAAACTGAATCAGTGTTATCTGTAGAATATGAAATAACGGGAGTGAGAGGCAAAACGACTACTGGGGCAGAACTAGGATGCTGAAGAGCGATTGTTGCCTAAAATCGGCAGCTCCAGTAAGAATTGAGTGTGCCTTGCCCAGATGATGACGAAGGAGCTTTTAGGAGTTCATGCAACAGAAGTGTTGAAAGGCAAACGAAAATTTCGTTTTTTCAGTTTGGTGTTTCAGAGCACTTAGACGCCTTTTGTACTCCCTATTAGCCAAACACGGAGAGCGACAATAGTTGAATTCTCTGCAAACAAACGCGTTTGTGCAAACTAACGACAAGTAGGAGACAGGAATATTAACCACTGCTGAATGCCTGATAGCCAGACGCACTTGGCAAAGTTTGCTGTCTAGACAAACGCTATTCAGTGACATAATCTAAGATCGATTATCACCATGACCATCAGCGGCAAATAACTTCACCGTAGACTAAAGTGTACATATAGTGCTGCGGAAACGTTAGGCCCGAAACACTTCTGTTCCCTTCTAGTGCACCCATCACCTGTCTCTTTGTACCACTTTGGGGTAAAACTACGGCCTTGTCACTCGTACGCGCCCCAGGAACATACAATAGAAGATCCATGGGACGAAAAGAACGAACTTCTTCAGAGAACCTATATTACAAAGGCTGATAAGCAAAATTACGATGATTGCCTCAATATGAAATTTAACGTGGAAGGAATAAATCTGTTTTGAGACGGATACCCTAGTTTGCATTCCGAACAACACAGTTCACTGTTCGTCTACTAAATCCAACGATGATGAAATCTTCGTAAAGGCCGATGCCAGTACTACAGCGTGGATAGCCGCAATCTATGGCAGCCATTGGGTCGGTTTACTCTGTCGCGTAAGTCAGCCGAAATAAAATGTGAAAAAGTTGGAAGAAAATGCCATGTGTTTGTTGACCAATGGACCAGCGTGCCCGCTTAGCTCGGATCAAAAATTACCGAACCAAAATGGTGACGAATCTTCGAAATAGTGTGAAGATCGCCTTGTTAGTAAGACTAGTCAACAGTTACCTGAGATAGGTCATCAGGGTTATCCGAGAGAGCGAGCCAAGCCAACTTCAAGTGGATCGAACCAGTCTTCACTTCTTCCAAGGGGGTCCACTGTTAGTGAGTAGGTTGCATAACGTTGCGTGAAACAGAGAGGCGGAAGTGTTATAAACGAGTTTTTCAAGTAAAAACACAGGTTCCAAGTGTCGAATACGGTTACAGTGTAAAAAATGATAATCACTTTCACTACAATCCACGATTATTATCATGATTCACTTTTTATCTTCAGCGAAACATACTGTTCTACCTCAGGGTGTAAAATTACACATTACCAGATACAGAATAAAACGAAAGGTAGCCGAAATAAGTTCTCAAGGGATTAGTAGCATACTCATCAGGGTTCGATTTTATGCTCAACCTACACAAGCTCCAAACGTCTAGCCAACCTCCAAGAAATGAAAGGATACCGTTCCTGAAATCTGTGGTGCAAAGGAAACAAATCACCAAAAGTCACTCACCGTATCCATTTCACCGAGTTCGTGTACCGAACTTAGAGGAATTGATGTTCTGAAATCGGTGAAAATGACTTGGTTAATCAACCGACACTCAGTTGGGGAAATCAAACAAGTTTGGAGCGAAAAGGCTTTTGGTTAGGAAGGGGTCAGTATTACAAGTACAGATACTGCATCTCAGCAAAAAACTGTTGATGCAATGGGACAATTGGACAGAAAAGTCAAACACACAAAAATGAGCTCATTTTGAGACAACCGCCGGTGATATGAATGGTGTCCGAAGTTCAGACCCGACTCAGGAGCCCGGATTCACATTTTCAATTCCCAAATGACATTATGGGCATTCCTCTCATTGGTCGTCTATCGAGGACAGTCATCAGAATCCAACACAGCACTTCGACAAGTTGGCCGGGAGTAGCCGAGTACTCTAACTCCTGGCTTAAACACAAAGGTTGACAGATGAAGACATATGCTACGGAGTGCCTGAATGAACTCAGTGATCATGATAAGTCAACAACTTTTCAGCAGCAGAAATTGTTCAGCTGATCAGTAACCAGAGCTACATGTGTGCTGTGTGTCGAAAGGAACTGTACGCAATCAATAATATAAGCGACATTTGCGCCAACTGGTGATGTCGACTGATCTTATTACAGGGGGGGAAATGAACTCAAATCGCAAGTGAACCACTCATAGTCAATGTCCAGCGGTGTACTGTAAATTTGGTTCAAGCCGTAAAATTAAATCTTAGAATTAATACACTTCACAGAATACACCATATTACGGATACAAACTGCTGTCTGGCCGTTCATAACGGCGGCTGCATCATCACCTGTGTCACTGTATGACCGCAAGAAGTGACGCAAACGGTTATAGGAATAGTGTGGAGATCTGATCCAGAATATCATCAACGATGGTCACTCCACAACCATCCACAAGGGATATTCAAAGAAGAGACTGCACCCATAGGAGTCCTGACAGGCATTCCGCGCCAGATTCCTGCGGTATATGCTACCTCGTGAGAGGCCACCTGACCTCCTTGAAAGGTTCCTGAAAAGTTGGGGGGCGATTCCGTTCCCAGAAGAAAGGCCGAAAGCCCAATAATGTGGCAAAATATATAAAAAGTTCACTAGTTTTAAGGGCCATATAATGTAACTTTAAGAAGCAGGTAAATCAATATCAAAGAGAATATGTTGCGTAGCATACGGGTACCCAAAGCCAATGCATTAGAAAATGTTCCTAGCCAACGACTCTTCGACGGCTTATTGCTTCCTTCGCTAACCACTAGATATACCGCTCGAAACACTGTTAGATAAGGCGGTTCTATTGGGTTAGGGTTAGGGGATTGTCTCTCTGGTCGCCGAGCGTAGTGGCCAAAATTTAGTCACCAATTGAAAGTGCATCATCAATACGCGAAAAAAAACGTTTGCGGGTAAACCCAAGCTCGATGAACAGATCAACATTCAACTGACCAATGATCAATAGATCTATCACTTGGTTAGTATTTGCGCACAAGACACCCTTTTAACACGAGTATTCGATTCTCCGTTGATTTCCTTTGGAAACCGTGAACAAGGTACAGTGTTTTAGTATTTGATAATGCACAAAACCGAAGCTCTTGCAGTGTAATGAGAGCTCATAAATAGGCGTTTTTTTCTATTGCAGTTGTCATGATTTTGCACCCAGATGCATTGATTGTTTCTCGGCAGTTTCACTCACCGATTCAGCGACCAAAACATGAACCTGAATGAGACTTTCAAGCTTGTCTGCTCGTGCCACGTGACATCGCGTATTCGCCCGCCCAAATTCTACTAAGCCTTAATGCACCACCTGATCACGAGACCCTTACCAACTGCCACTTATATCAAAGCTAACGCGAGTAGCCACCTCTTCCAGGCGACCAAGCTTGCCCTCCGTGGCGTACACATTCGAATTTTTTTCAACGTATCGGGCAGAATACGAGGAAATTTATGTGCTAGTGAATACGGGTGGGAAGAGCAGCCTTATGAAGAACTATGTTATCAAACAGATGGGTTTAGGGGGGCCATTTCTACCCCCCTACAGCAAGAGATCATCAGATAATTTAAGCGAATCTAAGCAAACTTCCAAGATGCGACACCTCTCTACAAGAGCTACTGATACACGCTCAGAAGGGTGAGAAGAGTCCTGTGCACATTTCACTCAAGCTGAAACTTACGAAAGACTATGGACCATGCTAGGAGAGTGACCGCAATGAAAGAACCCCATCCACTGCGGTCTTTCGGCTTTTCTGGTAAGCCACTGGGGCTGCGAACGGCGGTCCGCCCTATACCGAGAGCCCACCAATTGGGTTACCATAACGCAGCAGTCAGGGTGAGTGTGCGGAATGTATTCGACAGACAACGCGATACTCAAAGTACGGGAAGCTGACGAATGGTCACTCAGGCCAATGTGTGCACGTGCGCCCATTGGGTGTTCAGACGATTGTGCGCAGTGCTTAAACATTGTGCAGGTGCAGCGGTTCGGATTGCGAAGAACCCATAGACTTATCTTTCGTCACCATCTTGGAGGTTTGCATTGCAAGAGGCAGTATAGTGTAGATTCTTTCTTCCAAGCACTATTGATCCCGTTGCTGGATCCAGATGCCAACGATCATACTACATTTGGTTATCGCACATCCACTGATTTCGTCAAACGATAAGTAGTGTGCCTTGTGGAGATAAGTTCATCGTAAGCGGCAAAGCACCAGTAAGAGCAACTAAGCAGTTGTCAGAGAAGGAACTGAGACCTAGCACAAAAAAATGACTAATTTTCTCAGGAAAAATTATCAAGACCAGGTGCATAAACCTTCAAACATCAATGAAGTAGATAAGCCTGAACATCACGTCGAAGTCAGACGCCGTCAATGGGAGTAACCTTACATCCCCCGCAAATCAAAGAGTACTATTTCAGGGAACAAACACGATAGACAAACGTCTGCTCGACAGTCCGGCCAAGAGTGATCATATTCTCGCCCCTGAGATCGATTTTTCGCTGTCCTGCTAGATCAGCAGCAAAAGTGCTGGCGAAACCATGTGGGCCCGAACCAGACAAGTGAGAAAATCTCACCATCCAACTGAAATGTTTTTCAATTCTCACCGCAACTCCATGTCCTGCACATCACGAATTTTTCACCATCACATTACACGGCCCAACAATGATGCTGTGCTGCAGATGAACCTGGTATGCTTTATTCGTTGCTCCAAAAGTGCCGAACGCCAAATTTTACCAAGGACAAGCTTCTATGCTACAAAAAATGCTTCAAGACAACACGACCCAAGTCATTGTGGAGACAGAGTATCTGAGACAGATAGCAAAGGCTTGTGTTGCAAAATTCCAGCAATGTGACACTTAGATAAATCTAAGATACCAGCTTGTACTGTAACAGTAACCAATACCAAGGTTATTTCTGCATTGGCATTCAGGACATGTGAGTTTTTTATCATCAGTCAATATTGATTTAAAAATAGGTTAGGAACGAAGATTCTGTTGAAGATGCCTAACAAAACCACTAAATACAGGCTAGAAACAAGCACTGAAGTTATCCAACCCTCCCGAGCAAATCAAACGGACTGCTCTGAAGTTAAAACTGAAGTTTGTGTTTGAAATGATCGGTATCAGTGGCACTATATTAAATAGAAAAATAAACTCACTGAGGCATACAGGAGATTTTGTTCACAAAATCATCTCTGATGGCTTATAGTTTTTGCTAAATTTTCTCACCTCACCCGATATTGTAGGATTCTACTCGTTACTCCTCTTCCCCCAAACAGTCTGCACCCCAGAAAACCGAAAGACCTTTTTCATCGCGATGATGCTGCTTCAGAGGGTTTCGAGTTTTTTCTAGGTATCATCGCAGCTTACCTGTGATGGGCGATGAGTCACCCTGGTCATATCGACGTCATTCTGTGGCTAATACGCTGAGTGAATAAAACGGGTGGACATAGATCATGGTTATTGCAACACTGAAGGTTGATTTCGTGCCCCTGCCGACGTGCATTCCTGGAAGGGTGTCGCGGATGCAAACAGCTAGTCGCCTTGCCGCACTAAAACCAGACCTCAATTGGGCCGGAAGATCCGTGGTTCAAACCCGACCTCTGCCTCTCGACTTTCCCTGTCTAAGTTTGGACGACCTGGCAGTATCCCAGCCCTTGTGCTTCCTTCTGGTGGCATGGCAGTTAGACACCGAAGCGGTGCTACAACTGAACGAACCAGAACACAGCGTTGGAAATAAGTACGCGGAAAAGGTTTGGTATGGCACCCTCGTTCTTCTCTCCTCACGGTTGTCAATGAGAGCATTTTCTCTACCCGAGTGAACAGATCCGTGCATTCCAACAAGGCAAGTGCACCACAAGTGAAGTATCTTAATTCAGTCTACTAAAATAGACTAAGATTTTCGCGAAGGCAATTAATCACATGATTGCTGGAAACTGTTCGACCCTGTGAGTAGTTTCTTATGATTTCTCGAATATCATACCAACTGAAATATGAGGCGGCCTTCACATTCGTTTGATGAACATCATAAACGAGGGGTTCAGCTGAGTCTACCATAAAAATCAAATTAATCTGAAAATAAGCATAGTTGTCGAGAGTAAGAATATATTTGCGCTCCCAGAGAGTATGCTTTTCAGAAGCAAAGACACTTACCTTCCAAGGAAGTCATCCTTATTCCCTTGATCCTTATCAAGTACCTCGATAGCCAGCGACTGACCTTGCCAAACATCTACGATCACCTGGAATAAATGTAAACCAGTCGAGTAAAAACGATGGTACAATGATCAAGTGGTCAAATGACTGTCTGTGCCTCGGGTTAGCATACTGTGTAAACAAAACGCAGCATTCATCGCAACAACCCGTCGCTTTTGCTATTGTTTTAAAGGCAGTCAGTACAAGTGATGCCATGCAAAGTTAACTAGGAAAAGTTACACCTGGCTAAATCTGTACAGAAAAACCGAGCTACATAAAATGAAAAATAGACACGAATGACCGGTTGTACTTGCTGGTTTTGGTCAGCAGTATGCTAAAGAATCACGTAATGTAAAAAAGCTAACTAACTTCAAAACCTTCAAGGATAAGAACATAAAAATGATTTATCACCTCAAACTGTTCATTCCATTCGGGCTCCAGAGTATGCTGAATTACGGCAGTCTGGAAAGTTCTGGCGCCAACTAGAAGGGGATAAAACAGTGATCACTGGATGAAGAGGTTCTCACCGTTCACTAGGTGGTGTAGACGAACCAATATATGCAGGGGAGAAAACAGAAATGTTATGCAGCTAGGAAGGATTGACTGGAAATAAATCCATCACAAAAGTGTATCGATGACAGTACTGTCAAAAAGAATTATGGGGTCTTGGACGGAGTGATGTAGAATCGCGTACCCGAGAAAAAATTTAGGGGTATTAGCTATCTGTCCGAAACTGCTGAGAAATTTGTGATTGTATCCTCACGCTTATGGGCTAACATTTGAACTACTCCGGAAACTTAATGTGCATCAGGTACAAGTGGAGCTTTCAGGAGAATTCCGTTGTCTGACCCAACTCTTCGTCTATTTCATTTCTTTAAAGTTAAAGTGAAGCAACCAACTATGACACTGGTAAACGAAGAAGTCATTTACGGTGGCGAGGTTCACGCTGCCAGCATCTAACTGCACGCAGATCGTCTTCATCAGTCGTTCAGCTGTAACACCCTTTCGGGGCCCAGCTACAATGCCACCCGAAGGAAGCACGATGGCTGGGACACTGTCAGATTACCGAAGCCTGGACAGGGTTACACGCAGATAACCGGGAGGGCTATGCCTACCGTCAAAAGGTATCATGCTACTGCTCTACCGTTGGTACCGCTGGAACTGTCGTCGCGTGGGACTTCAGTGGAACAGCTCCAAAGTGATACACCTAAAAAACCGCAGTGCGAAATAGCACCCGGCTCAGTTAAAGGAATATACGAAACGTAAGTGCATGGACCCTGGGTGAAAATAAGTGGTTCTACTGCACCACAGCTGTCGCCCTCAATGTATGGCTATCCACAAAATCCATAAACAAACTTAATGCCAGTGAATAATTACCAATGGCGGTGAGGAACTTTTTAAATGGTTTACAGTTAATACGCCCCACTAACCTGCACTGCAGTGTATGGAAACTTTCGGTGTATTGACCCCTCAGAAAGACTACAATGATGTCACAATCACAAGAAAAACGAAAATCGTCAAAACGGACAGCACCGAATTGTGTGTAAGCCAGAGTTGGTCGAATATCTTCATACTGTGCGGACAACTACCAACCTCAGGAACACCATATGACCATGCAGAATGGAAATAGAAGTGCAATAAACCTTGGTGGCCACTAGAGCCACACATATTTGACCCATACAAAGGGCTCAAGGTGTGTACCAAGAATTTGCTCCAGTACCTGGCCTCACTGAGTTTCAGTATTTTTTACTTTTACGACCGAGAGCGCAGACCAAGAATTTATCTGTGAAAATTGAACAAGCTTATTTGGGTGGAGCGCTCTTGCTTACATGAAACAGTCAACAGGAAATGCCGGAATCCGGATATACCCACACGCCAACAAGGCTGAGATATGTGAAACGGGCACCGGGAGTCACTGCAACCTTCTGAAGGCTACGAATGCAACGCTCAACATAGATACTACAGCTGCGCAATATGTATTCCTTATTTCAAGGACGCGAAGTGTGCAAACCAAAAAAATACCCGTTACAGACGAATATGTTTACACCACACATCAACACATTCAACAAGAGACTTCATCAATTTTTGAAGTCGTTACAACGAAGGGTAATGCTATGAACTATGCCCCCATCCTAGTTTTAAACTACCAACGGTGACCGTGCCAATGGAGCGCCTAACACCTACTGAGGTATGACTGCATATGGAAGCACGGTTTCATTTTGAGTTGCGCCTGAGTTACTCCGAAATTTATGCGAGCAGTGTTGCGGACACCGCGACCTTGGCCTCAATTTCGGTGAACGCACGTGACTTTTGAAGTACTCGCCACTGAATATGCAAGGCACGTACTTAAACTGAATGCGAAGCAGCCCCTCAATCGGCAGATTCGGTCCGAATGCGGGGAACTCAAAACAAGACATGACAAATACACCCATTTGCAAACTAATTTGGTTTTGCGAGAAACTCATCTGGAACCCCGCTGAATCTCTCGTTTGTGATGTTTCCAGCAATACATTACGAAGACATGACGAAGTTGATGACACTGGCAGGCATGATCCTATCACTCAGCCAGTGTCGCGCGTGCGCTAAAGCCTTAACCTTCAAAGCAACTGACATGGTTTTTCTAGCACCAGAATAGCAGAACGACTTGATGTCAAATCTTTGGGTCTTCAGTGCTCGGTTATCCTGCCACCATTCGTTTTATACCGTGAAAACTTGAACCAACCAACCTGAACACATGCTCTAAAGCTGAAAAACTCAACTGGACTGGGTAAACCCCGATCAGTTACGGCATTTTAGAAAAGACACCTTCCACACAAGTTGTCGACGTTCAGTGACATTCTGGAATGCGATTACATTGTACACGAAACGAGTGCCGTATGCCAAATGGTGGCCTTCATGATTTGTCGCTTGACGGTTCGCGCGAGCCTACTTGACACACTGCTCTGTCGTTCACCGTAAACTCCATAATTTTTCGGAAGAAAAACGATGAATAAATACTTTATTTTGTAGTGGCCGTTTGCAGATTCCATATTTCTAATCGAGCTCACTATAGGTCAGGGATTGGGTGGTAAGTTCTTGACTGAAAAGGTCATGGTTACAACCCATGATCAACTAGTTTTTCCTGTTTAATTTCTCGGAACGTAGGATGTTGCCTTTTGTGGTTAAACCAAAATCGCCTCAAAACAACAAATTGCGAAAAACAGGTAGTGATAAAAAGTTTCGGAAACAATAAATTTACCTCGGATTACACAGTATGGATCTGAGGATCCCCCGGTAATAAGATTCTTGTCACCGATTTTTAAGCGGCGGGCACCAATCACATTTACACGGAGGACACCCTGAAATAAGATCATAAAGAAAGGAAGAGTGACGCGGTAAACACAACAGGCCTCTTGCAGTATCACTTATGGAACTGAGACGGCGTAAGGATGGCACACTGCAGACTAACTAGCGCTATGCGAATAGCCCCGATTAATCCACTCGAAGTACTGTCATCACTTTTAAGGACAAGAGAGCTGAACATCGACGACGAAGCAACTAGGTGAGTGAGTTTCGAGGGTTAACAAAAGCCTACAAAAAAACCAAGTAGATTAAACGTAAATAAAGTCTGTCGCAAATGCGAGGAAAAGTGAAAGAAATGTGGATAGAATCGACAGGAGTCGGAAAATGAATCATAAATTCAGTCGGCCTTTAAAACTGTCGCACAGACAATGCCAGTAGATCTCCACAGAATTCGTCTGAAGTTCACATAGTCAGTAGTTAACATTTCCTTGATGTGTCGCATAAAAAGAACTTAACACCAAATACCAACTTGGTCTTCACGGGAGGCTCACCTGAAACTCAGCAGAATTCCTCGTTTATAAGGTTGTTCGACTGTCTAGGCTTGAGCAACCTGGCAGTATCACAGCCAGCTTCTTTCGGGTGGCATGGTAGCTAGGCACCGCAAGGGTGCTACAGCTGAACGTTACTGAATGTGCTGCACCAGGCCGGCACATGTTTCAGTTGGCATGATGTCCGAGATATCACAATAAACTGTATAGACGGAACACACCACTCAAAAAGTTGCTGTAAACTTTTTGACAGCCCACGACCGGTTTCACCAAGAATGATGCTACGCCCTACTGCTGCTGCCAAGTGTCGTGATCGAGCGGTTCCGTTTACAACAAGTACTAGTTCCCTAGCTCGTCATTAACCTGATTCGCGGTATCTTTGTTTGCAAACCACACACGTTTTCGAAATCGGCTATCAAATATGGTCTGCTGAAGCCCCACTCAAAACAAAGACAAAAAACCTTTCCATTCAAGCAGCAATGATCGTCTCAGTGTGCTCACAGGACCAATTAGTTATAACGCGGATTTATTTCGCAGTAATTGACATCAACCATGATATATTTGAATGGCTCTAGCCTTGCTCCCAAATGACTTTTTCTATCGGTGATTTCATCCTGACAGTGTTTTCTGCATAGAAGACACCGCCGTATACCTAAGACTTAGTCCAAGTGTGGAAACAGACAGTAACCAAGAGTAATATTGATTGGCTAACTCTTCCAGGTAGTTCACGCTAAAACAGCTGCTCTACTACCTACTTGAAATGGGACGAGTAAAATAGGACAATCAATCATCCGGGACAAATTTATTGATCAAATTGCCCGACCTGTTATACGCACAAGGCTGTGACGAAAATTTTCAGTTTTCAAAGAATATCGTCAACGATTTATTCAGCAGGGATTTGCTGTCAAAATCAAATGCAAATGGATCTATTGCGCGAGTAACTTGCATATTGTTTGTGAGCTAGATGCCATGGGCAGCACTACAGATGTGCTTCGAAATTGCTCACATGAGTGGTTGCACATCCGCATGCTCGTTAGCGTGTGGCATTGAAACGGTCAAATGTAACTACCACGGATTAACTCAAAGCGCAACGTAATCCTATTGACCTAACCAGCTTATGCACTGAGATCTGCTGTGTCCTAAAACGAGGGGTGCCTTGGGTTTTCACGAGGTATCAGCTTATGATCGAAAAAACCTATCGCTTTACTCCATCAACTGGTCACACGACTTCGATCTCAATTAGCCAGTGAAGCTGAATTATTGTGCCTGAACAGGTAAAGTTTGTACTACTTTGATCAGGTCAGCTTTATTGACGTAGTGTCCAGTAAATGAAATTCAGTTTTTTCACTGAGTGATGGTAGTTGGTCCTCTTTGTAGACAGGATTTGTTAGCAGAACGGCAAGGTATGACTGGCTAACCACCAGATTCTGCAGTAAAACATCATGTATTGATAGTTGACTCCATGCAACATCATTCGTCACACATAAGGAAAACGTTCACGATATTTTCTTGAAATATAAGACAATTGAATACTGTGGAGACCTCGCAAATACTACTTTGCGTGAGTTTAAACTTCCCCCACTGACCGATAGCTAACCTGTCAGATTAATGCTGCCGGAGCATTCTACGTAATTAGTCATGAAGAAGCAGGCCAAACACCACGCACGCAGGTATGACAGTCAAAGCGTTCTCACTATTCCACACTTTTGGCTTAAAGCTAATTGTTCCCTTCCGAAAAGCTCAATTTTTCACTCGTTGAATGCAACAGATAATACACTGCTTGGATTTTTTAGTCATGAGTATTATTTTCTAAACTTATTTGTATCTCTTGGCTAAAAATAGAGAAAGAATAGGGAAAAAGATGTAAAGGCAACCCAAAAACAGCTCAACCGGTCCATTCACCAAATTCACTCGAAGTGTGCACGGGCATTTTTGCCTACCTTAATGTCATGTTTTGTAACGGCCTTGGACTCGAGTTGTTTGCAGAACCGGCAATTGCTTGCAGTTTTATGGTATCGAAGTCTGTTGGATGTCCCACAGTCACTTAAGACGAACTAGTTGGGCAGCACAGCTGGTGGCTTGTTGCGTCGAAGTTATCGTGCCGAAAGTGCTTATAGGGTTCTCTGATGATAGTCACTCCCACAAAGGGCATATGTTGGTTACGCTTACTACGTGGGTACTGCCGTCCTCACGCCACTGGCCATCGCATAGCCCGGTGTAATCCACACGCGAGTTGCCACTTCTAGCTCACAAGCCCTGGGCCTGAACAGCCCAGAATAGCGGAGTGGTGCCATAATACCGAGGAAAGCCACCAGCTTTGCTGATCGGGCAACAACAGAGGCAACGTTGGACCAGAAACAAAACAGTAGCCAACACCTACCGAGGTAACGTTATTTTGCAAAGTGCATCCGATCCTAATTACAGCCCGGAATGAAACAATACGACACTGCTCGTTTTGTAAGGCTTACACCATATTTTTGAAGCGTCCCTACCGAATTCGGTGCAGAGGAAGACCAAGTGTCGTATTGGACATTTAGTTGGTTTACATTTAATGGATCAATACAACGTTCACATATCGAGGTTTTTCTACTCGACCGCGGGTGAACTTCAGGATTGAAATACTTGGGATTACAAAATAAACAAAAGAAGCCAAACTGACAACTATGGTTACAAGGACGTTAACTGATTGGTCAAGGGGACTTTGACAGCTTGAGGTCAAAGTCAACAAACCAGGCACCTGGTTAGTATGATCATTGATTAGTCGTGACTCTACAACTTACATGGACAGATTGTCGTCTCGGTTGACGCGTGCAAGTTGAGTATGAATCTCCAGAGGCTCCACACATTACGAGTCTACCTGTATCAAAACTCCTGCTTGAGTCGGTTTATCCTGACCGAACGAGGTCGTAGAAATATCTAGTGGGGCCTACAAACCGATGACTGAACAGCCTGATTTTTTACACTGAGACGCCCTTTGAGGCGGAAAACGAGCGTACCTATTCTGGTTGGAAGGGCGCACTCTCAGTTGTATACTAGTCTCTCCTATATAGGTTGTGTTGCAACCTTATACACGGTCAGCTTGACCATCTGAAGAAATGAGGTTCTTAGGGTAGACCAGGAGCTTTCATCGTATTGCCTATCTTGAAGACAGTGTGAATGTTAAAGTCGACTGAAACCTCACGGATTCATTCGAAAGTTTGCTGATGATCGGGAACCTTCACAGTCGATAGGAAGAGCCTGCTTTCAAACTGTCGACCCATTTGTGACTAATCTACTGTCCGCTCCATGATGCAGTACCTCTTTCAGTGTCATTTTCGCTAGCTTTCGAAACTTCATTGAAGCATACCTTGCTTACTCTGATCATCAGTAACTGAACAACATTTCGCATTATATTCGCTGGTTGACGTGAAAAACAATCCAAATACAGTCCGAAGTGAGTTGGTTCTCAGCATACGGACACACCAAAATCCGATTGGTTAGCTGTGAAAAAGCGAACCAGTAGACTTAAAGATCGCTCGAACCTTCGGTTTCGCGATCGAAGCTCACATCATTAAACAGGAAGTTGAGGAAAACCAGCAGGTCACTGGAAAACCCACGTCGGATTACTACAAATGCGCCATCAACACAGTGGCACTAAATGCGCAAAAATTGTTCACTTGTTTTTGGGTTACCAATGACAAGGTTTGCCACAGCTGAAGTAAATGGAAATGCTAGTTTGTTTGTGTAAGATCCTCCTACATGTGAAGAAAGATGGTAGACAGAGATCGATTCCGGACTCCAATTCAGTGGGTGGTACATTGGTACAGGTAATGGGTGACGAGACATTTTCATACATACCTTGTAAAGCTTCATGACTTGTTTCTAATAACACACTTGTGTACAGTGAGTATGCATAAAAACTAGGGAACGTCTCCGTATCATGCGATGCCTCCTACCGAAGATCGTCAACAAAAGCCAAAGTCATTAAACTCGTTTAATTAGTTATTCCGAAGGGGTTTGATGATCCGCTTTTGAAACTTTGAGAGTTTGTGTGCTGAAGTGATGGTGAAGACAGCAATCGAACTGGCTAACTTTCGTTGGTCCGTGAAATTGTGACAGTCTCTTGATTTTGGGATTAAAACAGAACCAGATAGGTAGACCGGGTTTCTCTTTGGATGTTTCCCAATGGACACTCAGTGATTTTGCATTCAGGAGCACAGCAATGGATTTGTTGTTCGCTATGTGTTCGCAAAGTTCATCTTTGGGATGCTCAAGGACCTTGGTTTCATAATCTTTCTTCGGCTCCTGTCGGGTGGATGGACTGGTCCCTTTTTAAAGATTCAAGCGGATAATGATCTGCGGTGCTGAGTTCTGATCAAAACGGGATTCGTTAACGTGCTGTACTTGCAATTCTGGATCTAGCCTCATTGAAACCTTCTGCAGACATCATTCCAGAAGCCGGCCCAATTTCTTGCATGATAATCCGTGGCTTTGCTGACTATCGCTGGGCAGTGAAGTTTAATTCTTTTTTACGCAGTATTTCTACGACCACATTTTCAGGTGCTACAAAAGTGATTAGCTGCTAACTGCATCGGTTCTGAGACGGTATTTTGGACAGCGTCAAACGTTTTACTGTCTTCGACGTGAGTATACAAGAAACTCAAGTTGTCTGCGTGAAACAGTGTCCATCAAGTAGGAGTGAGAAATCCTATTCACGCCAGATCATACATGCAGTAGTGAATGCGTCGTCGTGAAAAAAAGAGAAGCATTCAGACCTACTGTCAGCGACAACTACTGTCCGTAGGCTCGACCACAGGATGGTGCAGAAAAGTTGATCTGCAGAGAACAAATGTTAAACTCGTGACAACTGAGCCAGTTGGCTTGCCATTTGGAAAGAGTAACCAGTTCTTGAACCTCGGTTAGTCAACGGTTTCTGGTGAAATTCGGACAACCTCCATGGGTAAAATTCCCGAGTAATCTTGCTCGGTCAATATCAAACTAAGAAAAGCCGGTGCTTGAAATTCGAAATAAAAAATAACTTCAGCGTCCTAGTGACAAAGCATCGAGACCAACTATTTTGCTCAGCACTGTGATACAAGCTCACGTCCATGATCGTTGACTATGCCAGTGCTGTTGCCAAGATATGGTGGAAGGCCCCAAGCAAGTTACAACCAATAGGAAAACGAATCGGTGCTTGAAAGCTATACAGCTGCACGGTTTTGTTCTCTGGCGAGCATCCAAAAGTTCATTGGCAGCATCCACCCACGGCATAAGGTAAAAAGTCGATGAGTGAAACACAACTAACCTGTGGCATAGGGTACTTTAGACGTTGGATATCTACGTTGTCTAGCAGCTGCACAGGCAGCCGATTCGGCAGAACGATTAGTTCATCGACCACATTGCGAATGACGGTGTTCAGTGTTTGCCTGATTAGAAACGGAGTAAAGTGGTGTTACTTAGAAAATGTTGTCTAGTCGCCCATATGATAAAACAAAAACGACAAAAAGCACATAAACGTGCAAAACCAGCTTTGTTTCTGCACAAAGAAACTCAAAGATTCAAATGAAAATTGTGACATTCTGTCCAAGTGAAAAAGAGTAGTATCTGAGGTACCAACGAATCTAGCATCAACAAAGTTTCGAATATAGTTTGAGTACTTACTGGAGTCCTGGTAAGCTGAGGATGTTACCAATGTCAGTGAGCGCGAAATGGATGTACTAAAAAGGATGGAAGGAAGCAAATTAAAAGGTTTGCTTCATTCGCATAAAAATTAACATGGTGGTACTGCTCAAGAGTAATGCTACAAAGTGAAATTCCTAAAATAAGATGAAGGTTTGAGGTTAAAGGAAAATTCTCACACTTTAGTCGCATCCGAAGCTATCGCGCGATAGAAAATGATGAAACCTAAAGTAATTTAGCCCCCTTTTCTCTAGTCTATGGTTCCAACTATCGGATTGAAGTCAGCTCAATGCTCCTTCCAAAAAAAACGGTGCACTTTCTCACAATAATGTAGGCTGAAGCCCTCCTAGGTTAAGCTATTTACCTGTTTCTACAGAAAGGTAAGAAGTGAATGGGTAAGCTGCGCAAAAGCTACACCAATTCAACATTCACTGCTGGAATAATAGCTTAAACTTAAGGATGGCATGTCTTCATATTGGATGGTTGTCAACAAGATAAGTAAACGGCAGGAATGAATTTGAAAATTATTCTTCTGCAAGTATGAGAAGAAGTTAACATCCGAGTGAAAACAGGGAAGCCAATATGACTGAAAAGCCGAGAAGTAAGTACTATCATCTCACTAGTTGGCCTATATCCCCTTAATGCAGTCGAATATTGCCCATATATCGATCGAAAAGTACAAATGTTTACCAAATGGCTAAACTAAGTGGAGCCAGAACAGAAAATCACAGGCATAGTGGGCCTGGTGACATTGATTCTCAACCCGACAGTTTATATCGCTTAATGGGAAACCATCAGTGGATAAAGCATGGGAACTGCACTGTTTGTGCTCCTGGTGATTATATTATTATTCCTGCTGTCGGAGTGTGGACTAGATAGCTGGCAAAATATTGCTGCGCGGTACTTGGTCTTGGGTGAGTAATTCTTTTTGGTTAAGTGATCAACAAGACTTCATCGATTGCTGACCAAATTGATTCAAGCCAACGCACTAAAATGATTCACATTCAAATACGCCATCTGTATAGCACGTCGCTTCCATCATTTGACCATGGGTCTGGAGGAACAGGGAACTAATAAATATCTGCGCGCTATGAGTGAATTGGAATACAAATTCTGCAAGGACGGGTCGGCCGCCAAGTCCCTTCCCGAACGTGCTTGGTGCACTGCCGTAGAGGATGAATGTTGAAAATTATAGGAAGGCCTGTAGCAGAGGTCGAGAAGCAACGACTAACAGACACTTGGCGTCCTGCGGTGTATAATATGGAAAGTTCAAAGTCATAATACGGCGTAGTGAAATAAGATGTTATAATCCGGCGTTTCGATTGCCGTTGGTAACCTTTTTCACGGATTCTTACACTTAATCCAAGGCTTTGTTTTGACTTTAAACTTCCCCTATGAAAAACATTTCTACGTTTTTGTCCTCCTACTCGGTGTCTTCAATCACATCTACTCATTCCGCAAAATTGAAAGAGAACGTCTGAAATCAGAATAACTTTGCCCAGCCCGGAGCACGAGAGACCAACTGTAAGAACGTTTTCAGACTATACAGCGTTGAGTTGTGCTGGTGAACGGGAATTACTGTGTTCAGACTCTGACATTGACGGACTTTTAGTAGATGGAGTGGCACGCTGGGCAGTACTGGAAACTATCACCGACATCAAACCGACATCAATGACACCTAAACTGGCAATCTGGTATGCAAACAAAAGGCCCGGTCTTTCTATCTTCTGGCACAACTACTACAGAATACTAGCAACATGCACTACAAAAGATCATGGAAAAAGACTACTAACCAGTGATCAACTAGCCTTGTCAGACCATCTGAAGTTTCAAGTCCGTCAAAAGTCAAGAACTTGTGGGCAACTAGGAACGTTTGAAATTGAATAATGAATGGAACCAGGTGGTGCAACATGCGAGTGCGGGAATCTTCAAAGTTAGGCGACAGTGGAATCTAGTTCAATCCTAGTTCAATCTAGTTCAATTCACTATTATTTCCTGGAGTCACCCAAGAAGTCGACACTTAACTGCTCAACAGGACCAGTGAAGCCGAATGTGACTAAAAATTCTGTTAGCACGTAAACCATAGTGCGCATCGCGCTGTGAAAACTGCGTCACTGTAATTCGATGCAACAAGTTCATTTTCATAATCATAGGTTTACAAAAGTTATCGGATGAAGCACGTGTGGATAAATCAAGGTGCTCATTGAATTTTACAAAATTAATGCAACGCCGAAGTTGATGGAACTAGATGACAAATTGTATAGCTGAAGCGGAACTAAAAGAACCAAAGAAAACAGGATGGAAGGACTGGGCTTAGGAAAGCGAGCGTGTGACCCCCAGGTCCCTGCTGGACAATGACCATAGATTTCAGCACAACATTCTGAACAGTAAGGAAAAACTTGCAAAACAATTTCAAGAGGTTTACAGTGAGTGATGAACCAAACAGAATGAACTTCAAAGACACTTATAAGTAATAAGACACCAAAAGAATTACTCCAACGCCATTCTAGATGATATATGGAGATGTGTTTGTTCCGCATATTCACTAAGAGAATATGGTGAGAGATTCAGTCGGATCTGCCGTCAGCGTCATCTTAATTTGCGCAAGGGTGTTAGTCCATAGAATCCACTGTGCTTTCGTAAGGATCGCTCCACTCAAACAATGCCGCAGAGCAGTAAAGAAACCCCATAAGTGGAAAAGCTCAATAACTTCGACCACAGTGAAACATCCGGACCAATCGGAAGTTCACCAAAACATCCCAGTTTCTGAACTCTCCAAACGGTCGTCGTAAATTGATTGAAATGACATTGAACAGATACCGTAATGTAGAAAAATGACTGTTAACTGTAACTGTTCAAGTATAGAAGTGAAATGTACCTGAGGAACACTGATTACCTGCGACCTATCCTAGCCCACTGGATAAGCATTGCAACATAAAGTTCGCATATGGTTCATTAATTATAAGATGAAGGCACGCGAGACAACAATACAAAATCTAATCCACCAGGAAGGATATCAAAAGGCAAATGAAAAAAATCTGGCTCGCACTCATCGCCGACAGTACAACGTCAGTGTTCTACACTGATGCTTCACTGCCATGCAACCCTAATTTAAGGTCTTGTGCCAATAAGCATTTCGGACTTAAACTTGTCAATGAATGGTGAGGATCAGGATCATTCGATCTAGAAACTTACCGGACTATCCAAGAAACAAACTGTCACAGCCCCAGCAAATGGAACCTTGGGGACTAACGGTTTCATTACCACGCGCATTGTACCTCGAAGCTGAAATAAAACAGAAGTATCCATACCACTAACTGCGACATATATGTCGATGAGAGTAAGTGAAGGGACATTCTAGATTATGTTCTAAGCGTTAGTTCACGGAAAAGAGGCATCAGGCTAACCACGCAAATCATTCGAACAGCCAGTCTATCCACTTGAAAGTCACAGATCAGGTACGTTCAGCGTGCTGTGAATTCCAAAGTATGCCTTCCTGCTGAGCTGTGAACTTATGGGGTTAGAGTAAAAAATGCGGTTCAAACTGGGGTGGTCCGTTCTAAAAACTTATGGAAGCTTAATTGCATCTGTATTCCAATGGAGATAGGTGTGTGATCTAAGGAGCTAGCTCGTCACAATCCTATTGAGAGTCCTGCCAGAATCCTGGTTATTAGCTACTGTGCGCGCTCCAGCATATTTTCTGTCCTTGAATACTTACACTCGACTCAGAAGACATAAATCAGATAGGACTTTCAACTACGTTAAATCGTTCGCAATAGTAGGAAACCACTGTCGATGGGGTCCCAACCATGAGACCGATACTAGACAGTTTAGCGGCATATCCCGACTTAAAGCTGTCACCTTGTCGTGGTTGTCGGGCTTCTACGCTGCAGTGATCCCGCGGGCCATACTGGCAGGAACTCAGTCCCAAAAGGTTTTTGCATGCCAAGAAGACCAACGGGGAACAGGTCGACGAAGAACGGGTCTCCTACAGCGAGTAATCGTATTACAAGGCGGTCTGGAGGTAAAGTCATACCGTCCCATGCAATAGGAGTGTAACAGCAGTAAGATATTTCCCCCAGGCGATCAGTATATCCATTTTTATGGAAGCAGTAATGCTACCTTCCCCCTACAAAGGACAGGTTAGAAAAGGTCAGCTCTAGGAACCGCATACTCCGACGGCGCAAGGTAGACCGTAACCGCCGGCGTATTATTTGATACAGTCGAAATATGTTTAAAAACAAAACGTCAAGTTCTGTTTAAAATGCACCTGCTGTACGCAGCCATATTAGGAGTGAGGCAGTAATGCGTTACTTCCTGCGCTCTCCTACCAGTCAGCCACCTGCAGCCAAGTGGGTCAGACTATTGAGTGACTGACTGAGGGAAGGGTCACCCAAGAAAACCCTAATAACCGCTGTCTCGCGGTTCAGAATCTTGAATCAGAGGCTAGGTACAGGGTTCGCGAACAAAACCCTACATTTTCCCACTACCTTGTGGGTCAGACTTTCGAGTCAAAGGTTAAAGGTGGAGTACCCCCGTCTTCGGCTTGGACAACTGAGCAATATTGTTTGTCCTTCAAGCTCTTTGCTCAGCTGCCCTCCCAAATACTCTTTCACCAGTCATCGAATGATGCAGTGCGATAAACCCGTCTGGCAGTCCCCCAAGCAGTGTTCTGTGTCTAAACTGTTGCCCAAAAAACTGAAACAAAATAATCCCTTACAAACCTTTAAAGATCTGATCCACATTGTACTCTTTAATGTCCGTAATGTGTCAAATTGAGAAAATGCATCTCTGGCCGAAACCTTCCTTTTTCGCTATGCCCATGTATGCTGAAGGCCGAAAGCGCATTACTGCAACGGATGCCAGAAATCAGTCGCCTTTGCGCTGTGTGGTTCAATTAAGATCAATGTAGGTCAATGCGGTAAAAGATGTTTATTTGTTGTGTTACCATAGGTCCCGACAGACCACAGTTCAGATACTGAGAAGGACGGGTTTTATCAAGATCTGAGGCGACTGCTCCGGTCAGCAAGAAGGAGAGGTATAGTAATCCTGGCGGGTGATATGAATGCCCAAGTAGGACGACTAAGTCCGGAAGATACACAATTAGGTGGTAGAATCGGTGTTGGTGATCAGCGTACGGATAATGGATAGCGACTGGTTCAGTCGTGTGAAGGTTATCGTATGTTCCTCGTCAGTACGAACTTCCAACACAAACGCTCACATCGAGTTACTTGGAGGCCACCAACTGCAAGAGTCGTGGACTCAGTTGGGCCATGTTGCCATCAGTCACTGACCCTCAATTAAACAATGTCGTTCCTCCTGAGGCATGCAACCTGAGTCTGATCATGTCAATGTGCGACCTCGGTCATCAATTCGCTTTCCGCCAGCATTGTGTGCGAATCAGAGGAGCTTAGACAACTAGACAAGTTTCAGTAGCTTCAGAATATCAAGCTGACCTGACCAGGAAGCTGCTGGAAACGCACAATGACGAAAACTGCTTGGAAGTTGAATGGAAGCAGGTTAAAGAGGGTATGCTCTCAGCTTTCGGAACTGCTTGCCCAAACCATCACCTAACACTTGGTACCAAAAAGATCATACCACCGACTAGTGACTATGATGGCACACACAGATCCTTGATAATCAAGAGCTTGAGAAATGACAGAGAACGCTGATGGGTACCGAAGGACGAAGAGATGGAGAAAACTTTCGCTGCAGGCCAAAACCGCACTCCATTTCAGCTAATTCGATCAACCGGTCAAAAGAACTTTTGGCAAAACGAAATGCGAAAATGACGGAATGGCAATTCAGTCACAAGATCGCTGTCTTGAACGATGGGCTGAACACCACAAAAAAGAGTTCAGCTGGTCTTCTTCAACACATACCCTGGAAGAATCCAGTGATCCTGAATGGACCATCGACACCAGTCCGCAGTCAACAACAGAAACCCAGCGTGTGATATTAGTCCTTAAACGTGACAGGGTACCTGGCCCAGACGTTCTACACCGCGCACTCTTCAAAGGTGATGAGGTTCTGATGAACGACTCGACAACCATATTGAATAAAATTTGGAATGTGAACAGAATGCCACAGGATCAAACCCCGTCGACCATCATCCCAGTTTTCAAGAGGGACGCGAGAACGTCTATATATATATATAACCACCGAGGTATCTCGAGCAAATTAAATATGGAGCAGTCCACTCGTAACTGATCACCAGCAAGAAACGGTGGTCTGCCACACTACACTGTGGTCGTAATATCCATCTATCATGGAAACTGTGAACACTAGGCGTTTTGGTTGCTTGAGTTCCATAGCTCATGTGACAAATCTTGTGTGCATCCCACAGTGATTTAGGGATAGATTTACATATCTTTCTTCAATTCCAATGTCTGTGAGGCTATTATGGGTCACCGTCCTGACGCCAACTGAAGATGCGAATCATCCCACATGGCAACTGCCACAAATTCAACAAACATTGACTCAGAAGCCCAAGACAGATACATGGATTTGAAAACACTGGTGCTTGACTGTCGCGCGCCTCCATACCCACCTTCAGCGGTTCCACTTCAGTGGCAGACACTTCAATCCATCGTCCGATAAGGTAGTATCACCAACATCATAAGAAACTTGTGTGGTTTTCACCGCAAGCTCCAGGGTTGTGCTGAAACTCACTGGCCCCATCGACTACAGGATCATGACACGCAATTAAAACAGAGGAAACCTGTCAACCGCATTTCTGTACCATAATGCTTAAGAGTTTTTGCTTGCGCATTTCACAAGTCCATATGATGATCGTTCAGCTGTGACACCCTTTCGGTGAACGGCTGCTAAGCAACGTGAAAGATAACAACAACAGATAACAGTGACACGTTCAGTTGTCTACCGTGCTTCAATATCTATTATTGCAAACAAATCCCAGGTGGACTGATAATTTTACGGGACGGTGAATCAGCAATATTACTGGTGTGAGATAGCTGCATGACTACCAAACGATACACCTGGACCACTGTTGATGTGTTTTCTTCTCGGGTTAAATAGGAAATTTTTAGAACTCAAGTGTCTCCTGTTAAGCTCTGATAGAGAGTCTTCTTATGGATGGAGGTCAAACGGAATTTCGTTCATCAAGAAATCCACACAAAAGAACGTACTATTGCACGAAATCCAAAACAAGGGTTCGAGTAGGGTGCCCATTTGCTGCATAGCTATCGAGCAATCCAGAGGTACAATGGCTAAAACACTACCAGAGTGTCCAAGCCTGCAGTGAAGCAGCCAAGGCAATCAAATAATCAGGGCGGATTCAAAACACGGATCCTCCGATCAGTAGTTTCGCAAGCTGACCACTGAAGCGGATGGATGAGAGATCCTCCTCGATTATTTTTCGCAGTTTTATGATATTACGTGAGGGCAGTAAGCTGAATTACGGGTGAAAACTTGTGTGCACCAGCTCTTCAGACAGTCAAGTGCTGTAACAATTGTATACGTATGGGCAATCCACAAAATTGGTTTTCCTTGAGTTCAATGGCACGCTCGATTCTGTTGACCGACCGGTTCTTCTAAACATACTCATAAGGCATTCCCCGGAAGATTGCGGACACATGGTGTAAGTAAAGCGTTGTCCACCTCGCGGTTTGCGTTATTTTGAAGACATAGAGAAGAACATTCGTAAATGACGATTCGGTATGCGCAGCAAACATCCGAGCCACCGAATAGATTCAATGACAATATCATCTGCTGCCCAAACAAACGCCTCTTTTTAATTACCTCATCACGAATATGTTGAGACCAACCAATCCCGGAGACGTTTCCGAAACATCAGTGCTCAAAAACCTGGAGACCTCCCATCATCTGTCCGCGAGAAGCATGTATCGCAAGCAAGATCCTTTGGACTCAAACATAAGCAGTCTTGGCGAACGTGATACGACGTTTGAAGACCCGCACATTGACTTCGTTAGACACATCTCTGCTGAGCGCCAACAGAGGGGCTATTCAAGCACCGGAACGTAACTTTGCATTTTCTTGAGACAAGATGCTCGCCCAATGGTATGATAGCGATTGGCTCACTCAACAGCTTTCGTTTTCCTATATGGTGTTCTCAAATGCGCTGGCTCGCAGTAACTCTCATCCATCAACCAATAACTTGGTGGATTCTGCGTACTCATTCCATTTACTAGCATTTTATGGCCCAGTGGCGTTTACTTACCCCCATTTTGGAGCTACGACGCACTTGTAAGTACGGACTCCTGGAACGAACCTAACTCTGTAATTATTCGCCCCCATTTAAGCTCAAATAATCCATTGTTTGCACGCAAATTCACCTTGGCGATCAGTGTGGTTTGGCTAGAACTTTCAGGATACTCGGAATAGATATATGCTGTCATACCGAGGAGCATATACAGGATTCAACTGTTGCGCACCATATGAGGTTTCCTTCATACTGTGCCAAGAAACGCTCCATGAGAATTCCAGTAGACCATATCACCTTGGCCTTGAGATACGCTAGAGGCACTTAAGAAGCGAAAGCTGTTGCCTCTGGGATCGGCTGAAAGCCCTTGCAACTCATCAACGTCACACGTGCTAGGTGGAAAGATGTCATGGAAAAAAATAGGCAAAACAGACGGCACACAATATATGAAAGACCATACAGCAGTGGATGGAAAACTCCGAACTTCAGTTTAACTGTGTGCTTGGACCTTCTGTATTACCAAGTAAACTCACATTTGCGTGGGCCCTGTTACGCTGAATGTCCCACCAGAGTTAGGATATAGCCATCAATAGACACCAGCGCTTTTCATAGGCGTTAATTAGTGCGGCATCCAACATTTGCCATTCCCCCGTTCCTTTTAACCTCTGATAGCGAAATCGTTCAAAGGGCTCTTCTAAACGCTTTAAACGCTCTTCTAAATACGGAATCAGAGCTCGTAGGTGGAAACATCTTGGTGGTGATGGCACTAAGTTCACAACTTTCCAGAACGACTTCCTGGCTGCACGATTCGGTATGTTTTTACCCTTAAATGTACAGTGATTTACCAAGGGTGGGCAACTATTCCGTCCGTTTTCACCACGAGAGGAGGTGAACTGGTGGAGGAAGGTAGAGTCCCGTGCGACAAAGGTGTTACTACTGGTGAGTGAGGTTAAATATCGTACATTCGAGGTATGTTTTTCCTCCACCAGGTTAAAATATGCTTTGTATCGGTATGAGGTGGGGCTATCATTGAAGGGACAAGAGTCCAAAATAACCAGGTGCGCTGCATCGTCGTGTGCTTACGAAACTTAGTCTGAAAAGCATACACTGGTTGTTTCTAAGAACCGGTTTCTAATGCGGCACTGCTTAAATCTAGGGGAAGCACGGTGTGGCGGTGGAGATTACCAAAGAGTCCTACACATACTCCGCCCAATGAAGTGACTCGAGCATGATTTGCGTAAGCGTGATCCGTTGATTTATGGTGAAGTGATCTTTTAATACCGCACCACTACTCACGTTACCATCAGAAGTCGGAAAGAAGAACAGACGGCCAGCCGGTCGGATGGATAAGCAAGATGCATGCTTAGTTACAGTGGGCTCATATCGACTCATTTTGAAATTGGGAGATACTGGACGCCTACAATGTGGAATTTTAGGCGATATGATCAAATGTAGAGTTCAGTAGTCGCCAGCAATCTTCCATTTTGTAACTCACAGTTAAAACGAGCACAGTTGTCAAGGCATAGATTGATCATCCCTGTGTTGTCTCCAACCAAAACAAGGCTGGGCGAGGATGGTTCTACGAGGCAAACAGTCCTCTGGAGCATAAGGCCCAACCAGCATAACCCATGGAGTCCGATCAGCCGATACCAGTCGACAATGCTATCAATACTGAACAACACACCTGAAGTCTAAAACGGTGCGGTTGCCCTAGTTCGATAGAGCAATATATTCTGACAAACCGTCGTGTTCGTCTCAAATAGATACATGATCTCTAGAAAACATGACCCACAATAAATACCGCCACACTGATGAAGTAGCCAACAACCCTACCAGTTTTTTGGCAGCATTGCCGCCTCCTCATTGGGCGGTATCATGGTGATGGGACGACTAGCGGAGCAAATTATTTAGTTGTATAAAATGGACCCACCTCGAACTCTTTCACACCAGCCTTGACATTTCCAAGTTGAACGCGGATTCTGGCATCACTGTACAACCTGCATTGATGTGTGTAAGTGTCTTCAAAACTCACATTAAATCTAGGTCCAGTACCACTTCATCGCGCCTTATGCTCTCTTCCATGTAAACCTTCACTCCTCCAATACGTGGTGGCTGAAAACACCTTTAATCGTTAATAAAATGCATACTGTGTCACCGAGATCCAAGGTAAGAAAGTCAAATGGCAGCAAGGCGGAAGGTAGTTGAGCGGACACCGCAGGAGCGACTGTCTGTCTTATGAGGTCTGTGGCATAATCGCATATATAAGGCCACAGCCGTTTTATAACCTTGTAACAAATCAAGGATGGATAAAAATTTTACTTTGTTCAGCCATTCAGCACGTTCGACATCCGGGAAATATACCTGAAAAGTTATATTTTATAAATGATCATATGCCATACCCATGAAGGCAAGTCACGAACTGAGAAGTTCTGGATGATGAACTGTTTTTCATTCTCTCCTATTGCCTTCAATGAGCTTGTTAACTTGGCGCGCCTGCTTCGGGCCAGTTTGATGAAGAAATAGCCTACAGATCCGAGAGCAACCCACGCGCCACTAAACCCCATATATCCGATTCCCCACAACGAAATGCATGATCCAATGAATGTCACGCAGTCCATAGCGACAGGCAAAAAACCCTGTCTCTTTTTTTGGGGTGCCGCCGATGCAGATAGCATTTTATGAACTACCGTGAGGCAAACGAAAAATACCGCAACAGAAACCCCGCAATGTAGCGTGGGATGTCAGGAAGTCAGCGGTATTCGACGTTCGAGAGGACGGCACACGTCAGTTCTGAAATGTGCAGATATACGGACTGGTATTAATGAATCCACACAGTATACACAGTACACATGCGGGTGGAACAAGGGAGAAGGCCGGAGTGTAGCAACAACGCATGTGTATTAACCCGAACCGAAACCGGTAGGAGAGAGGTGTACAAGGTTGGGTCAAGGTCAGTTAGGGGGGTGTACAAGCGGGATACTCTTCCCTGTCCAGGGCCCGTGGTGCCTCGTCCGTGGTACCTGTAATAGGGGAAGAGAGGGAGGGAGAGGCA